GTACTTTTAAAAGAAAAAAGTCTGGAAATGGATCACTGGAGTTATTGAGATGTAAACTCAAAGCCAAATAGAAGAAACCTAGCCTACATCTCTGAGATGTTGAGGGATTTTTTTTCTATTTCTGAATAGTTTCAGAAGGTGATATTTTGAGAAGAATGCTCCTTGTTTACAAAATCCTTAACCTTGTCTATTGTTTGTGAAGGATTTCTTCTCAGGCTTTTTCAGAGTTTGGCTCAAAACGCAAGATAGATATTGTGGAAATATATATTTTACAGAAAGATCATAAGGCAGATTAGTAAGCTTCTTAAAGTCTGAGACCACAAATCAGACAGACGTCCAAATAAAGCTTCAATTGATCAGTTATTAACTACCACTATGTGTTAAAATACTGTGTAGGAAATATTGATTTTCAGGAGAAACTGAGGGTTTCCCATCTTCTTTCACAAGAATAACACTTTAGAGGCCATTAGGGAAACAGCAGCTGAACGCTGTTAATGCACAACTCTGAGATAGAAGGAAAGATGAAAGGTTTATAATTATGGGTTGGTCTTTTGGACTGACTTTGTCCTCTGTCCAGCAGGCTTGTGCTCTCTGACCAGCAGAAGAGGCTGTTTGAGAAGCTTTCCATGTACTGTGACAGATATGCCGAGCAGATTCCCGTCACCTTCGTCCTGGGTAGGTGATTCACTTCGGCTGCCCTTTCCAGCCGTTGTCAAGCTTTCTAAAGCTCCGTCACACTTTTTTTTTGGACACTTTCTGCTTTTTCTCTCATTCCCGGTACAGTCCGCGTAGCTGAGCATTTTACAGAGGAATGTGTTTGTTCTATGTCCAGCCATTTAACTTGAATCATTCAGGCAGAAAAAGGGCCCATAACTCAAGTTAGAGGCCAGTGTTGTGTCCAATTTAGCCAAGCAGCAGTGTAAACTGGACCTTTAGGCTCTTTGTTAGCAACCGCCTGTCACAAAGACACATCATCTGTTCTCATTTCTTTAGCTGATGTATGAAAAGGGACAAAGAAAACACAGTTTGACAGAGAAAAAACAGGATTTCTGAGGATTCCTAAAGAGCTACTAGCTGGAAACTGGTCAGATCTCAGCTGGTGAGCAGAGTCCTGAAAACATCTGAGGAAACTGGACCAGAGGAGGACAGAAGAAGAAGAGCTGGGCCTGAAAAACTCTGTAATCCTACAGATGAAGAGGATCTGAAAGTGAAGTCCTTCAGAGAGAGGAGCAGATCCAGCAGAGAGCTGAACAGGAGCTGAGAGCTGCATCTGGACCTCCAGCGGGTCAGCTCCTGGTGGCTGAATCAGAAATGCTCTCCATGAAGGGGGGCTGTCCAGAAGCCTTGAAGGAAGGAGACAGGAGGAAAGGCTGAGCTCTGCCAGAGGAACCAGAAGTGGACTGAACCCAGCTCTGATGGAGAGATGGATCCTCACTCTGAGTTTTACACCAAAAATACAAAAACAAGGCTTAAAATGACCAAAAATACAACAAATAGCTAAAACTGACCAAAAAACAAAGCTAGAAATGACCGAAAATTCAACAAAATAGAGCAAAGATAACGCTAAAGTGGTCAAAATAAAGCTATCCTGTCAGTTATCTACCAGCAGCTGAACCTCCAGAGCTCCCACAGTGGGTCAGAAACTGGATGAAAGCAAGAACCAGAAGTGACTGAACCCCAGCACTGATGGAGAGATGGAGCCAAAGGAGCAGCAGCTTCCAGAGAAGAGCTTTGGGACGTCCTTCAAGAAGCTGGAGAGCTGCTCCTGGAGACTCCTTAAAGAGAGGAGCTGTGGAGAGGCTTCAGGATGGAGGAGAAATCTGGAAAAAAGGGAGCAAACCATTCCAATCTCTCTGGTTTTTAACTGGTTTAATGTTAAAAATGTTTAAATATCTCCAACAACGACTTCCTTTCAGATGGTTTAAAACAAAAAAAGCCAGACTTTCTTTGATCTTTCAGTCCAGTTCTTTATCATCCAGGCAGGAAAAACGCCCCTAACTCAAGGGCTGAGCCAGCGTCTGCAGTTTAAAGTGGATCTTCAGGCTCTTTGTCACAGAGACACATCATCTGTTCCATTTCTGGAGCTGATGGAGGAAAAAGGCCAAAGAAAACCCAGTCTGACAGACAGGAAACAGGGTTTTGAAGGCAGTCAAAGTGTGTTATTATTAAGTATCATAGCACAGATAATGTCGATCTGCATGATTTAATCCATAAAAGTGTAAGGAAGGGAGTGTGTTCACACTGAAATCTACTGTAACTGTGTTTCCTGTTGGAGCAGAGAGCAGCTGACAAACCCAGCGTTTATCTGCCACATTAGCAGGCTGCTAATGGAAACAGATCATTAAACACAGAGGAAGCTAAAAGCAAAACCAGAGTGTGTGCAGCTCATCTCCACCCTAATTCTGCACAGTATCTGGATGTTACCAGGATGCTTAAAGCTGATCATTCGCTGTGTTTTTGGGATTGGTTTGAAGATTCTTTAATGATATACTTCCTAAATGTAATAGCAATAGCTTACTTTAAACATGAAACAAATCGGGCTGGGAAAGGAAATTGCAAAAATCTGTTAAAGGACTTGTCAGAAGACTGGAGGCCTAAAGATAGAGGAAGAGAGTATTTACCATATTTACAGATAAGAAAATAAGCATGATTGTGTCTGATTTGAGGAATGGGATTTTCCCTTCTCAGGTCACACCTAATAGTGCTCTTTACAGAATAGTGTCAATTAAACATGGTTTAATTCATTTTCATAGTGATAAACTCAAAGACTGATGTTGGGATTTAACATTCATAACCTCAATTTTTGATCTACCTCTCATTGAGTGATGAGGACATTTCTGCTGTGTCATACTTCTTGCTATGGAAAAGTTATACCAGTTAAAAGTCAAATGACACATTATATGTAATAACTCATTCCAAAGTAGAGAAAAAACCCTTCAGCCTTTTGGGGAAACTGAGGATCTGTCTGATGTCCTCAAAGTGAGCAAAAATCAGCTCAGATTATCTGAGGAAACTTTAGTCTTTTGGCTTAACTGTGTCTGTTTTCCAGGTTTTTACGTGACTCTGGTGGTGAATCGATGGTGGAATCAGTTTGTTAACCTGCCCTGGCCCGACAGACTCATGTTCCACATCTCCAGGTAAACAAAAGCCTCTGTGGTGATGGAAAAGTGACAGTCATGAGATGAAGTACCTGCTAAATATCAATATCATTATACCCTTATTGTCTTGACATAGTCATGGTTAAAACCAATGACCCGGAAGTTTTGGCTTGTTGTATCTGAACCAAAAAGTTTTTATTCCTAATTCTAACTGGTGTAATTGTCAAAACCCAATCAGGACTTGTTGTACATTTCTGTATTAAAGTTTAAATGTATCTTAGAGGCACACAAATTAATAGATAAATACAAAAATAAATAAATAAATAAATACAATAATGAATGAATAAAATAATGAATGAATAAATAAATAAATAAATAAATAAATAAATAAATAAATAAATAAATAAAGGTTGTACATGGCATCAAACTTTGCTCCACTGTTTAAAAGCACTGAGTTTAGTCCAGCTATAGAAAGCTCAGTTCACCATGATATCCCTCCTGTCTTCCCGGGGGGCAGGAGGGATATCATAGTCAAGTTTTTGAAGTTGTGCCAGATTTTTTGGAGGCTCTAGTGGTGGTCAAGGGCTTCAAACTTACTGACCTGTCATAAATATTAAAAATTAGGAGAAAGGACACAAAAATGTACATAAATTCTTTATATCTGATGAAGTTTTCAGTTTTTTTCAGTCTGATATGTTCACCTAAAACCATTTAAAATGAGTAAGTCCAATAGGAGTTTCCTTTAGTGTGTAGTAATACCTGTGATAACCTCTGAGTCCTGCCCGGTGGAGCTGGTGTGTCCGGTGGATGTCTCACCCCGCCGGGTCCCTCTCTGCCCCCTCCAGCTGTGTTCAGGGCAAAGACGAGTATGGCCGTCTGCTGCGTAGGACCCTGGTCCGCTACATCAACCTCACCTCGCTCCTCATTTTCCGCTCCGTCAGCACGGCCGTCTGCAAGCGCTTCCCCACCATCGACCACGTGGTGGAGGCAGGTCGGTGCTCACATCTGGGATTCAGCACGAGGGGAAGGGTTAATAAATTAGACTAATTACAGCAGGACTGGTAACTGAAGGAGCCATTAGACCCTCTTCCAGCCCCAGTGTCTCTCTATTAGGTTTGTTTCTACCCAGCTATTAGAGAAAGATGGAAAAACTAGACCCCAGTGTTGTGTTCACCAGCAAAAAGTCAACAGGTGTGCAGGTTGTTGCTGGTTTCTTAAGTTTTAAATATGTTTTAACCCTTATATTATGTTACGAGTCAATTTGACCCATTTCAGTTTTTGTGCTGATCAAAGTGCTGGTTATCCTTTTTTTTTTCCTTCATGAAATTTGGGGACTTTTCCTCATCTGGGGGCATGAACTTGTGTGTAAAATCTGGTGGGGTGTCTGTGCAGGGTGTGTATACAAAGATAATTGAGAAATGATGACATTAATGTGGGTAAGTAGCTGTTCAGAACCTAAATAAACATGAATCTTCAGTGTATTTGTATTTTGATGGCCTCTGAGACCCAGACCCAGGTTAGTGTGAAGGGTATGGGTCTGAGGGTCTATTTTAGTTAGAATATTTAAAAATATATTAATTCATAAGTAAGAAAATTATTGTTTGTGATTTCATGATTCAAAGGGATTTAAAAAGACTGAAAAATGCTATTTACATATGTACAGTTCATTGATATTGCGTCAATAAAACTTTTATTGTGACATTTAAAAACCTACCAGTGGGGGTCATTTATCTTAATTCCAGGGGAGGGTGGTCAGTGGGAATCAGAAGGAGATCGGAGCGCAATAGTTTTGATACCTCGCCATTCCCAGGCTCTGTTGGACTTTGAAAGACTTTATTTAGTGGATATATTTTATGCTAAAGCCTCAATAAGGACTGTAAGAACCTACACCACCAGTAGAGAGGATGATACTGGAAATGAGCAACTTGGAGAGGGGGGACTGGATCAGACTGATTTGTAAGCTTACATTGGAGTTCTGTTGTTTTTATAGTGTGCCTCTATCTTTTTGTAGGTTTCATGACTCCTGAGGAAAGAAAGGTGTTTGAGAACATCCGCTCCCCTCACCTGAAGTACTGGATCCCGGTTGTCTGGTTCTCCAACCTGGCCTCCAGAGCCCGGCAGGAGGGACGCATCCAGAACAGCATCGATCTGCAGAATATTCTGAATGTGAGGACACTACAGGACTGTCTCAGAAAATTAGAATATTGTGATAAAGTTCTTTATTTTCTGTAATGCAATTAAAAATCATGAAATGTCATACATTCTGGATTCATTACAAATCAACTGAAATATCGCAAGCCTTTCACTGTTTTAATATCGCTGATTATGGCTTACAGCTTAAGAAACCCAAATATCCTATCTCAAAATATTAAAATATCGGATTTTTGAGTTTTCTTCAGCTGTACGCCATAATCAGCTATATTAAAACAATAAAAGGCTTGCGATATTTCAGTTGATTTGTAATGAATCCAGAATGTGTGACATTTCATGATTTTTAATTGCATTACAGAAAATAAAGAACTTTATCACCGTATTCTAATTTTCTGAGACAGTCCTGTAACTATTCAGCCCACAAGCCCGTCTGTGCACACAAAGCCAGTATTCTTCATAAACATTCAGCCCAAACTCTAACCGAGGGACAGCCTGCACATTGTTTATGAATGCTTTCCTAATTTTGTATTTCTGAGATCCTTATTCCTTTTTTCTGCTCCGCATAAAAAGTTGTGATTCAGAATTAGTGTGCTTGATAATATTTTTTTTACAGACTATTCTATATATAAATAATACTCTGTTTTTAAGTTAATGGGGCCTATTTTTCAGTTATATATATATATATATATATTTTTTTTTTTTTTTTTTTAAATATACAATGAGGATAAAAAGGCCATGACATAAAAAATGACAGACATTTCAAATAGTCTTTAATTATGATAACTTATGAACGACTCACTTTAGATTTGTGATGCTTGCAGGATTTATTTGCACTTTGGGGTGTTTTATTGTGTCTAAAAACTTTAATGAACATGGCCATTAGTAGAAAATCTGATTCTGTATGAGAGGAAAAGGCTATTAAGCATTTTCTCATCCCTGAAAGCCAATTTGCTGCCCTGTTAGTGGCCACAACACAAAACAAAACAAAAAAAACTGATACATGGGTAATGTGACTCTGTGTTTTCTTCCAAAATGGTGAATCAGAGTGATTTTCCAAATGTGGTATTGAGTTCCAGAAACTCAGCCTCGGCAGCCTGTGGTTTCCTCTCTCTGTGCTCAGGAGATGAATCTGTTCAGGACGTGGTGTGCGACTCTTTTCGGCTACGACTGGGTGGGCATCCCGCTGGTGTACACGCAGGTCTGAGCTCCCTGCCTCCGTTTAATCACATTCAGCTCGCCTAATCACATCAGGAATAATTACCGTAACCGGATCAGGGATCCGACTCTCCCACGCAGAGGGAAGCTCGCTCCCTGAGCTCCGTCTGTCCTGTTTTCAGGTGGTCACTCTGGCCGTCTACACCTTCTTCTTCGCTTGTCTGATTGGCCGGCAGTTCCTGGACCCCGCTCAGGGACACCCCGGCCACGACCTGGACCTCTACGTTCCCGTCTTCACTCTGCTGCAGTTTTTCTTCTATTCGGGCTGGCTGAAGGTTAGGCAGCATCCTAATGTCCCTCCATAGTCCCTGCTAGCTTCCATCTGAAACTACCTGTGTAACAAAACCGAACAGAAAGAAACCCTGTCAATTACAATGACCCTGGGCTGCTGATTTACTGTAAATATAAACATTATCTCATCTTGTCTGTCATCAGACAAGAGGAAATTCTAGAAAACCCACCATCTCTGGACTAAAGCTCATTTAAGAGAAGAGAAGAGTCCAGGTTCTGGACTGACTCATTTACAGACTGTAGTTTTTAAAACATCTGGGGGTGCCACCCATAAACCAGCCCAAACTTTCTCTCTACTCTCTGTCTTACTTTCAACATTTCATTTTCTGTTCTGGATTTTTTTTAAAGTTTAGGTCACGACGAGGTGTGCAGATCACTGCCTCCTCTTTGTATTTACATTTTATAACATGTCCCAACTTCTTCTTTTTTTTTTTTTTTCTAATTCAACTTTTTTATTTGATCAAACTTTAAACACACAAAAAAAAGGTCCACATAGTATGTTACATAGTTTCCATATACGCCACCTTGACATCTTCAACAGAAAATATGGTCCAGAAAATAGCGGTAATAATCAATGGAAATATAAATACAACGGCTTTCATCAGATACAGCTTATGTCCCTTTGATGTGCACCCAGAAATTATCCCAGATTATTAGTTTCTCATCATTCAACCCTTCCACCATACTCTCATAGGAAGCTGCTTCAATTATGGCATTGACCCAGTCTTTTAATTCCAAAGTTTTAACACACTTCCAATTACGTAGAATAATAATAATAATAATAATAATAATAATAACGCTTTGATATAGCAGAGTTTTACCACAGTGAATGCCTGTTTTCATAGGCTTAGTACCACTGACTGGTCTACTAGTAAGCAAAGTAGAAACCCAGCCATTATTCTGATATTCCCAGGATTTTGCACCAAAATACGTTCCCCAACTTTCTTTGTATGAGGGTTAGGGTTAAAGACAGCAGCTGACTGCAAACAGAAGCAGATCAGAACCTCTCAGTCATAATCCATGACTCAGTTAGGAGAACCAAGGTTCTGGTTTGGGAATAATCTATAAAAGCCCTAGGTGTGCCTCCTGTTTAACCCCTTACATTTCAGGCCCCGGACATGTGGAGCCCCATCCTGACTGAATAGCTTTGGTTTGTAGAGCTGTTTTCATCTCCTGTCCTGCTATAGCAATAACCCAACATGTGAAGTTATTAATAACCAAGTTGGAGAATATGAGCCGGAAACCCGGGGGGAGACAGAGAGCCAGGACAGTAAAGTTTGTCCTCTGTGTGGCACTAAAGGGACTCTTAAACTAAACATAGTTCATCCTCTCATAAACTAAGCCGCCCAATAAACTGGGAGCGTATTTTCCCCACAAACATTTAGTTACATGTGCTTCAATTATTGGCCATAATCGCTGAGTAGCCCCAAAACTGGGAATCAGAACATGTGCAGGAAGCTGGATTCTCCAACCAGAATTAGTTTTAAATGAGCTAAAAATGTCAGATTGATTCCCTCAGAGCACAAATTCTTTTTTCTGTGTAGTTCTTTAAATTCCAGATTCAATTCCAGTGTCTGGTTTTAGGTGGCAGAGCAGCTCATCAACCCGTTTGGGGAGGATGACGACGACTTTGAGGCAAACTGGATCATCGACAGGAACCTCCAGGTTTGTGCTTTAAGGAGATTCCTGGTAATATTGAGCTTTTTTCCAGCATTTGGAAAGAAATAAACCACAACTGTGTGATGAACGTCTGATCAGGTGCTGCTCATGATGGTTAAAAATATAGTCCTGGATCATTTCCCAACTTCATCTTATTTTTATCATGTGAGTGGAGAGCATGACATCACATAAAAGCCAGCTACACATAATTTAGACACCCATGTCACCGCTCACTTTAGCTAGCTGATCAGAGAAATCCAGCTCAAGCTAAAGGAATCAGACCCAAAAAACACATTAATAATTAAAAATAAATAAATAAAAATAAGAGAATTAGACCCGTTTTCCTATTGGTTTACTGTAGATGTAAAGGGATAAAAGACTTGATTTCTGAATAAACTGGAGTCAAATCAATCAAATGTGAGGCCCAGTTGTGATTATATTTTGTTCACTGTTACATCATACAAAAACCATCATATGAGAACTGATACGTGTTTGTTTTTATGCCGACAAGTCACAAAAACCAACTTAGAAAGCTTCTTCATCTTAATTCTGTATTGAATTCAGATGGAAAATAAGTCTGGAAAAACCTCAAACCCTATATGAAAGCTACGAAATTTGTTTACTGCCTTGTTCAGGACAAGTTTTTCCCTCCCTGTGCCTCCTAGTGCTGCTTTTGCTGGGAATTGTTGTTCTTCTGTAAATAAGTCAGAGTCTGAGCTGCTCTGTTTGGAAAGCTGGGAGATAACTGTTGTTGGGATGTGGAGAGTTATTAAATAAAGTTGAATTGAATTGTTTGTGGAGCGTTGGGTTTGATGAAACCTGGTTGTTCGGTGGTAGGAAATGCTGTGCTTCTCTCCACCTGTGTGCACCTGTCCTCCCAGGTGTCTTTGCTAGCGGTGGATGAGATGCACATGAACCTTCCTCACATGACCAAAGACATTTACTGGAACGACTGCGACGCCCGCCCGCCGTACACGCTGGCAGCCGCCGACTACTGCATCCCCTCTTTCCTGGGCTCCACCACCGACATGGGGTCCGCTCCTAGTGAACACTCATCAGCCTAACATACATTTAATACAGTTTCATTTATTAATACGTTGTATTTTATATCTTATTTATTTTATAAAATATTATTTTATATATTATTTATTTTATAAAAAATACAAATAAATCTAATTCAAAATATCTCTCATTAAAAAAAAATTCCTCTGGGATTATTAAAGCATTTCTGATTCTGATAGAGATAGAGATTCTATAAAATGTTATTATATATATTATTTATTTTATATATTATTTATGTCATAACATTTTATTTGATCAAAATAAAAATAGATAAGATTTTAAAAAATGAAAAAATATTTCATTTTAAAAAAAGAAATCCCTCTGGGATTATTAAAGTGTTTCTGATTCTGATCTGATTCTGTCAGAGACGGCTCATTATCCAGCTAATTGTTAATTTTAAGATTAGTTTTAATTCTCATCTTGGTTCAGACAGGAAAACTGATGCTCACAGCCATGTAAACTTGAGCTTTTCCACATTTCAGCTCAGTGGCTGTGGGCTCTTCACACCAGCTGTTTGAGATTAATCTAAATTTTACTAAACTAGAGGATCACCTTTCCTGTGTATGGTCTGTTGCAGGCTCTCAGACATCCTGCAGCTGGACGAGGGGGCTGTGTGTGACAGCTGTCCACGGCAGCCGGACGCTCACCTCATCCGCCGGCAGGAGTCGGTAAAGCCCTCCTCTATCTTATGTTTCAGTTTTATAGCTCTAAGATGCAGTTATTTGCAAAACAGAGATCTGATCTTGAAAAGGCTATTAACCAGAAAAGAAAGGCTCCCCCATCATATCTCAGCCGAAATATGTTTTTAAAACTGTCATCTCATATAAACATCAGAGGCAGGAAACCCCACAAATGCCATTTTCCACATAACACTCAGCTTAATCTACTTTATGCAGCTAGTTTTTCACATATTTCATAAAAAATAGCTTAACATTTAAGTCCTATTACATCTTTCCAGTCACTTATGACATTTGAGTCCACGCTGTGAACATAAGGAGGTAGCAGTGATGCTCGTTTCCACGGTTACTGATTCCTGTAAGTCTGCAGCATGATTGGCAGCTCAGACACAAGCAGATCAATTCATTGATCAATTCAGCATTAATCAATAGTTATTTCATCTTCCAACAGGACATAAAACAGCCAGACAGTTCTCCTTCATTGTGTAACTCAGTATCTAGATTTTCTTCCCTTTCTATCCAGTTTTGATTACTTTCCATTTTCTCTAGAGTTTAAAATCGATAAATAATTTTATATTTTCTCTTTATTTAGAGCAAAAAGCAGGAGGATGTTGTTGACACATTTTCTCTTAACTCCTAAACAGAAACCTGGTGGTGTTTTGTCATTAGCTTTTTAATGATGGCACTAGTTTTTTTTTTTTAAAAGGCACAAAAAGTGAGACTTTTCTGAGGTGGAGCTGGGTTGTTTTTAGGTTCTGGGTCGAGTCCGGCGCCTGCTTAGTGTCCAGGAGCCCCCGGACCTCCGGCACCCCCGACCCGTCTTCAAACGCCACAGCAGCGACGCCACCGGCAGCTTCTTCCCAGAACTCAGGTGCTTTAACTCTAGAGCAGTGTTTTTCAACCATTGTGCCTCGGTACACTAGTGTGCCGTTAGTGATGGTCAGGTGTGCCGTAGAAAATCATCCTATTTCACCTAATTGGTCTAAAAAGATTTTTTGATAAGGAATTAATTTTCTGCAAATAATATGCCATTTCTGAGTGTCTGTGCTGTTCTAGTGACTGGTGGAGTAATCATGTAATAATTCCTTATGACTAGATTTTGTATGTAATTTTGTATATTGAAGTGGACATGTTAAGTGCAATTTGAAAGAAGAAATATAAAATATGATAAAAATACATTTTTGTGTTTATTTGATTCTTATTCAAGACACTTAAGATAAGATAAGAATAAGATAAGAATAACTATAGTGTTACTAGATTTGTTTTTGGTTGGTGGTGTGCCTCGTGATTTTTTCTATGAAAAAATGTACCTTGGCTCAAAAAAGGTTGAAAAACACTGCTCTAGAGGACAGCGAACGCCTCCATGACCGATTTCTGTCGGCTATAGCAGATATCTGACTGTGTTCCATGTTTTAAACCAGCCATCCATTAAAAACTGTCTCCAGTTAACAATACAGATCCAGATGTCCTTTCTGACTTTTATTGAAACCACATTTGATCCGAATCTGTCCAGGACTAATCCCGGTCAAGTGGAAGTGGCCCCACCCCCCTCCCTGGTGATCCCCCCCACCTCCCTGGACACCTTGTCCACCTTAAGAGAAGTGAGCAGCAACCCTCCCTCCCCGGAGAGCTCGTCTTCTATCGTCTTCCCTCAGCTGGTGGTCAGCCCGCCGCTGTCTGCCCAGGCTGACTCTTTGGGGAAGCATCAGAACGGCCTAAATCAGGAGCCCCCCCTCTTAGAGACCTCCAGGTGAGCAAATTGAAGTCCAAATCTCTTTCATTTGGGTGTGTTTCAGGTTATGATTTCACAAAATGGCCAAAATTAACATAAATCAGCATTTTTGTTTGAATCTTAAAATTAATTTAGTTTTTAAAATTACAATTAAAATAAAATGTTGTTTTATCCAGCAGCAACTGGCCTCATCAACGAGGCCAGTGGCCCCCACCCATTCTTCTCTCACCCCCCTCTACCCCACTAATTTACCCAATGCTACGTTCAACATTTTCTAGTCTGTCGTTGGACATTCAATATTTTATTTTATTATTTATTTTATTTTATTCTATATTTTTATTTCTACATTGTATGTCCTTTCTTGTTTCTCATAGAAGTGTTGTGCACCAAACACCAAAGCAAATTCCTTGTAGGTGAAAAACCTACTTGGCAATAAACCTAATTCTGATTCTGATTCTGATCAGATTTGTTTTGTCCGGCCTGTTTTCAGCTTTTCCAGAACTGGCTCTGGCTGTTGCTCCCCCACTCAAATGGGGCCCCGGGAGTTTCGCTGGACAGCTCTAAACGGTAAAGCCGGGCCCCCGGCCCGCCCCCGAGGGCGCCAGTTCTCCCTGCAGTTCTCCAGGCAGAGCTCCAAGGCCTCTGTCCGGAGCCTGCCCAGCCCCAAGGCCCTGGGCCGGAGGAGGAGGGGCCTGGGCCGGTCCCAGTCCCGCCGGGGCCCCCCCCCCGCCCCCGACACGCTGCAGCTGCCCCAGCCCGACTACAGCCACGACTTCCAGCCCACGCCGGGGAGCGAGGACGAGGAGGAGGAGGAGGAGGCTCAGGTCCACAATACCAACTCCAGCTCGACCAGTTTGGAGAAGAAATGACGGCAGACGTGACCTCCAGATGAAACAGAACCACCATCTGAGGTGGAAACCCAACATGAGCCACCATGGGGGGGTCTAAGGGGCAGGACCAGCTACTTAAAGGCCGGGAACGCCACCTACTGAGGGGATCTAAAGCCTTTTCTCTGGCTTTACCACAGTCACCGGAACTGATACCAGAGGCGGTCTCTACAAGGATAATTGTGGTTAACCCTTTAAAGCCTGATCCAAGAAAAATAGGAGGAATATTGGATTTTTTTAAGTGTGAAGTCTTTCTTTGGCCCCTCAACAACATATGAAGAAAAAAAACTGAAATTGTTTTGATCAAATTAGCGTGCAATAAGTAAAAAATGTATGTTGGTGTAGTCTTCTACTGGCTGTTATCAGGTATATCTGAATGTGTACAACAGGGGTTTGAGCAAAGATTTTACCACTGAATGATGCAGAAAGTCTCACATCCAAAAGACTTCAGAAACCAGATCAGATATGGTACATTTGGCATTATAGGGTTAAGGTTATGGTTACAAACGTCTGAAGAATACTCTCATTCATTCTCTTTATATGGCACACTTTGCATCCTCCCATTGCAGAAATACTGAGCAAAAAAGGAGGCAGTTACACAGAAGAAAAGTCCAGCAAAATTATTCTTTCAGGTTAAAAAAAAGGAAACAGTTGGTAAAAATTTTGCTTGCAAGCATTTTCCATTAATGCATTTTAATGGATTAATTCTCAAAGCACATTAAGAGTTGCAGGAAGTGGCAAATGATGAGTTAGCCTTTAAGAAAGGAATTTGTATTGACTTTTTTAGAGTAAAGTTTTGGGGCTTTAAATGACTTCAGTTGAGTCTTTTTGGTTGTCATCTTGTGTCCTGTAGCGCCCACCAACGCACTGAAAAGGGAGGATTTCTTATCTGGCTACCGAAGCTAAATAGAGGAATGAAAGGTATCAGTTTATGCTGCTTAATCTCCAACAGCTATACTTCTTCAAAAAAACTTTGGTCTTTGTAGATGGGTTACATACAAAGGAAAACGTCCTGATTTTGGCTGTTTCTTGCTCATCTCTGAGTCTTGGATAGCTTTGGACTGTTGCCTTGGTCGGCTTTACAGAATGGATTTTAATGGAAGAGTACTTCTAAAATCAAACATTTGCCAGCTAAAAGAGTGGAGGCTTATTATTCGATGGCATGTTTGGCACGGGCAAAGCCCACTCTGTCCTGCCCTTTGTCGAAGATGCTGTAGTACTCAGTGAGGAACACGTCTCCCAGGATCCACAGAGGACCTTCAGGGGAAACGATGTCGGCCGCCTGGAAACCACTGAAACACAGCTCCTTGTTGCCAAAAGTCTCCTGACAACGACAAACACAGAAGTGGGCTCGGAAGAGGTTTTTATTCTGAGCATTACTCCGCTCAGAAGAGTGAATCGTGAGAAAAAACATGTTGTTTTTCAAATGGAACCTGCTATCTTATTTGTTATTTTATCTGATTGAGATTGCTGATTAATTAACGGCTTATTTGCAACATTATCAACGCTGTACTTGATTTATGTGGAGATAATTATGTACAGGAGAACAACCCAGGATTATTTTCCAATTATTTGTTTGTTTTTTTTGGTCTTTTTTTAATGACTCCCGTCGCAAGATTGAGGCAAATGTTTCAGTTAAAACTGTTAAAATAATTAAAACTGAGAGGCTGCAAGTTTTCATTCATAAAACTTGTCGAGACATTTATTTTTTTCATTTATTTCTTTTTAATCAAAAATGTTTAATTAAATATAATGTTTTATTTTTCTCTGAATTTGTGTTCACTTAGATTAAATTGATTTAGAACATTCCCATCAATTAGGAAATTAGGAAAGTCTGGTCAAAGGTCAAGAAGATCAACTTTTCTCACCTTTCTAACATACTGCTCAGAAGTCAGCGTGTACTCTGTTCCTCCCAGAATAAAAGTCACATGAGGCAGACTGGACAACCTGGCACAGTCGATGAGGAACTGAAACAAACGAAAGTACAAAGAACTTAGGATGTTGACACATTTTCTATGTTCTTATATCAAATATAAGTATCAGCTCTATTCACCTTAAATGTCTCAATGTTTGAGTCGCCCCTACAGTGTGTCTGGTGTCAATATCTTAACATTTCTAACCTATATTTTGTGCAATGACTAAATATTTTCCATGAAAAAGGCCTCTAGCTTCCCTATTACAAACAAAAATGGCTGGATTGCCCCTTACAGAGGATGCAGGCCAGCATGTTGACACTAGCTAGTAGCATAAAATGCTCCTCAGAGTGAACGTGATTAGTTTTCTCTTAACCTCTCCAATGCTTGTGGGTGTGGCTCCAATCAGCTGCTGCAGACTGAGAATGTCATTAGTGGGTCCAGCAATAAGGGAGGTCCCGGTATCCACGATGGCCTGGCACCCGCGTGGACAGAAGGAGCTAACGCCCTGCACAGCCACGCTAAAAGACACACAAAGCAACAGGAAGCTTTGCTGTTCCTTATCAGAGCAGGAGAAAACCCCCTCTGTTGGCATTGAGGCGTACAGGTGTGGTGTTACCTGTCCATTTTAATCTGCCAGTAGCCTTTGGCAGTGACAGGGAGCCAGTTGATTGGTCCAGAGAACAGAGCCTCATCTTTTCCACCCAGCAACAGCTCTCCGTCTGGGTTGCTGGTACTCGTTTTCCTGGAGTCCAAAATAACTCATAAATCATTAGATCAACAGTATATTTACACAAATAATGTGACCCAGACATGAGAAATTAGCTGCTAATTTGCAGAGAATCATGTGTTCAAAAAACTCTTTCTGTTTTGGAGTTGGACCCTGAGATTAAGAAAACACAACATCAACATAATCTGGTTTTATAAGCAAAAAAATGCATTTTGAATTTTAATGACATTTTGTTATAGCATGTTTTTTTTTTATGTTCTAGTTTCTTCCACAGAAGCTCTTGGGAATTACAGGATAAGCCATTAGCCTGCTCCTATTAGGCCTTGCTAAATATGATGGACCATCACAGGAAAGAGCCTGAGGTTCAAAAAGCTCATCTAAAACACATCCTCACACCACTGACATCTTCTGGGTGAAACAATGGCTAGAAGATCATTAGAAAATGAAGTCTTAACCTTAGCTTTCAGAACATTGAACTTAAGACAAGTTTACGTGGAGAAAAACTGATTTAGACATTCACCCAAATTGATTTTCTTCTAAAGAAATAGCTGTAAGATGACTAAAAAATCAGCTAAATAAAGTGTTTTCAAACCAAAGAAATTCTGATTCTTTGAACACAACTAAGGAGCTTGTAAAAATGCAGAAAACTGTGAAGCTCTCCATGTCCTGGAAAGTGTTTGTTCTTGTATCCTGAGCTGTGTGAAAGCACCTAGTGAGGTAGAAAGAGAAGATGGGCTCCTCCACTATCTTCTGAGCCAGCATGTTGTCAAAAACCGGGTTTCCAAGGATCTCTGCGAGGGACGCATAGCCCAGTCCCAGGACGCCATCGAACTTAGCCGTTACAAAGGTAGCCCCGGGTTCATACACAGACTCCCCAAACTCCTGGTTCAGGGCAGTCAGGTCCCCAATCTGAAAGATACAGCAGTCACTTATAGCTGAAACTGATCAGTGTGTCTAAGGCTAACGCAGCTAAACTGCCCCTAACATGTTTCATTTATACCCTTTACTCCTGGCTTTGTTTGATGTTTGGGTACACAACTTAACACAAAGTTAGATTATATGTTGGTAACTAAACCTGAGCCACAGGATGCTTCAATCACAGGCTTTCTCAGCTAAATTGGACCGTACAGCTTATTTTGTTTTTTACTTGTTTAGCTATGTTGTTGATATTTTGGAATATTGTGATTATCTTTGCTAGTTAGGAAGCACAACAGCACGGACCTTGAGTGTGTCCCGGCCCATGACTCCCAGCAGGTGTCCTGATCCGTAGTGGATTCCAAATGTTCGCCCATCATGGTGGAAGGTCTTTGACTCAAAAGCCTTAAAACGCCTGTGCAACGCTGTCAGCAAACACAAACGGGGGAATTATATTGTGCATGTATGTTTATATAGTCATCAGGCTTGTCCCGATCCAGATTTTTGCACTTCCGATCGGATCCCGGCCTATCGGAGCATGTATTAAAGTTTAAAGTTATTTATCTACTTACTTAGTTCTCATGTTGAACAGGGATTTACTCTGATAACTAGCCATCTGAATTAGTGGAGTCTGAATAACACATACTGGTTGGTAAAGAGACACTGACCTGTTTATTCAGGGAAAAACGAAAAAGACTAAATTCTAAATAACAGAAATGGCATCAGTGAACAGTAAAAAGTTACAATAATATTGTAAACTGTATTAAAAAGGCAAAACACACAAACAACCTGAATTGAAAATAGTCTATTAACAGCATCAGTAATGGATTATTTTTAATCGGTGAGCTGGAAAACTCAGATCGGATTTTAAAAATGGATCTGGGGTCTGCATTATTTTGTAAATATCGGATCAAGACAAGCCTAAAATACATATATATGTATGTATATATATGTAGAGAGAGTTAATTTTATTGTTCTAAAAAAAGACTGGATGCATTTCCTCTCAATGTGAACTGACAAACGCACTCCACCCACAGACCTTGAGCTTGTTTATCTCTTATCAGTGGTCTCTAACAAGCTGAAACAAAGTCATGGTGCCTCGACCCGCTAACACAACTAACACAACCCTCGGTGTGAGACGGGCTGTGTGAGACCGTGTTTACTGTGTGCCGTACCGCAGGCCTGGCTGACGCAGTAGGACGAAGGCACCCACAGATCCGAGGAGCCGGTGTCAAAAATCACAGAGAAGTTCTGCGCTGGAGTCCCCAAACTGATTTCACCAAAGTACTGAGCCTGGAACACAAAAAGACAACATGTTAGGGAAAAAACACGCAATTTTAGGGTTGATGAGCTTCGCAGAGGCATTTTATGGTGCTGACTTTTAGTCAAGTCTAAGTGGACATCTGACAAAAATGTTTATTTACATTTTTATTTAAATTTCAACTTATTTTATTTTCATTCTATTTTATTGCATTGTGTTTTTGTATTTTTGCTTTTTAGTTTTTTTCCTTATTTCCTGCAACTCTGATATCTGTACAGCACTTTGGTCACCCCGGTTGTTTTAAATGTGCTTTATAAATAAAGTTTGAGTTGAGTTGTACTGATGAGAATATTAAAATATAACTTTTCACAGGCAAAAAAGTTGATTTAGAGCTTAACTCAATGTTTGCAAAGAAAAAGAGTTTATATCTTTTAAATGTAAATCTTCTGAATCTCACACTTGAAAATGTCCGATTTCTATGCTATCTTGCGGTCACATTAAAAGTGATAAAAGATTGATCTTTCAACCGGATTTGAATATAAAATTATCAACAATGTGTGTGATAATAAGCAGTAGTTACATAGTTTTTAAGGTATGTAGCAGGTGAAGTTTAGGAAAAGCACAAACCTGCCACCAAAACTTACATTTAAATAGCTTTTTTTTAGTTAAAAAAAAACATTTGATTTAAGATTGTCTGCAGGTTTACTCAAGATATAAGAGCATAACTTGTTGGCTAAATATGTACGCAAATGCCATGATTTTTATTCTGCATCTCTAAGTTCATCCAACTTTGTATAACCACCTATGTTCTACTTCCATTTAAATTATTCAGAAAAGCATAAAAGCAACAAAGTCATTCTGCACATTGTGCCATGAAATGGACATATAAAAAAGCAGGCACCCTGAAAATGTGAGGAATAAAGACAATGTTAATGCTTATTTATATCTAACACGTCCATGTTTTCCACATCAAATAGCCCCAAATTTGTACTAAATTTGGGGATAAATCCATCTTGTGTTGCTACAAATGCTAAAAACTACAAACCACTTATAACATTTTTCCTTAACTAAAAAAACAGCGCCATGGTGTGTTGAACTGTTCAATAAAATGCATCTTTTTAAGTATAAGTATAAAGAGCTTATTCACTTGTGAACCAGAATCAGTTCAACTTTCTGACCCCTGTGCTCGGTGCTGCCCTCTAGAGGTTTTTCAAAGCACTGCAACGACTTTAAACTTGGACCGGAAACATTTTCAGGGGTAAAAAATTAAGTCACAAAGTTATTTTCCCGTACTTACGTCCATAAAATTGTAGATTTTCTCACTGGACCGCCCCAGTTTCAGTGACTGGGTCCCGGGCGGGAAGCACTGGGCAAAACGGCGGTTAAAGATGTCCGGACTGTGGTCCTTCAGGAAGGCCTGAAGCAAACCCTCCGCCCGTAGCTGGGTACGAATCGAGGGCACCCGACTCAGAGGGACCCTGGGAGGGGAAACAGATGTGTACTTTTATATTTTTAAGTAAATGGATAATGTAATCTGTGATATTTATTTTTTCAGCTTCATCAGAATTTATTTTATGACTGGCACTTGTCTGGACACCTATGTACCTGGAAGTTAGGCTAATTAGCTTAGCATAACAACAAATATCACACCTCCACTGATTCATGTGTAAAACCACGCTATCTGCCACCAGTAATTAGTAAAAAAATAATAATAATAAATAAATAAAGCATTATTTAGATCTCATACGAAAAGTTTAAAAAAAAAGTGTTGACATACATGTTAAAAAAATATAAATTTAAATGTTTAAAACAATTAACTGGTTGTTTGGGGGCCCTCTGGTGGCTGCAGGTCAAATAGAGTGATGTAAAGTTAGCAAAATGTGTGTCTTTTCGCACCTGATCAGGGCTGAGCTGGTCCATGTCCACAGCAGCAGGAACAGCAGGCTCAACATCCTCTGGGTCAGTGTGCCAGACTGCTGGCTGGCACAGGATGAGGAGGTTTATCAGAGCAAAGTGCTGCTCCGATTGGGTCTGAGTCTCTGGTGAAACAGAGAAAATCCACCCCAAAAAAGTCAGTCACCTCCTCTGAGTCAATGCAGACACACACAGTTATTCAATCACTCCAGCACCACAATCATGAGGAGTTATGGGATCTAATCAGCCAACAGTTTGCAAATTAATTCAGGGGAAAACTTCCTTTAATGCACAATTTAATCCAAAAGTAATGAAGGTATAGATGTTTTAGGGCAGGAAAATCTAAAGATGTGGCCGACACTCTACATTCACTCACTGTACATCAGAATCAGAATGCCTTTATTGTAATTATACATAGTGAAATTATATTAGAGCCACCAAAAACAGTGAAAAATAGCAAAGTGTGAATAAAAAAAATATTAAGTATGTACAATATAAACATTGTAACAAGATTATAAGGTGCACAGTCACTGAAGAATTTAGTGGTAATGAATAAATATGGGGTAAGTGGTTACCAATATGGTCTTTACAGATAACAAAACAATAACATTACTCATAAGGGTATGTATACGACATGGATATGGATACGACATACCCTTTTTTTACAAACTTTTTTAAATGTACATATATAGATATCTTTTATTCATCTTCAAACACCTTAGGTGGCGAGTGTATATCTCCCCCCCATGAAAAAAACTTTCCCTATGATTTGCTGCAGCCAGTTATCATCAAGATCCCACTGGTTTAAGAGGAAACATTTACACATTTAGTAAAGCGTAATTAAAGCCTTTATTTATAATAAAATATCTTCTGAGTAAGACTAAAAATCAAACACCAATATTAAACTGGCAAAATAATAACAAGTCAGAATAAGTAGGAAAAATACAGTTCATTCAAACACGTGAATGACTATAAATATAATGCAACTTATATAGTTTAATGTAAAATCCAGATCAAAGGCCTTTTGACAAGTGAAAGGATGAGTTTTGATTCTCAGGTGTGATGGACTCCGATCAACATCACCCTCTTTCTAAACACTTGTCACTTTTGAGAGCTAAACTAAACTAAATTTGAAACTTAAATCATTAAAGTGTGAGATGAGCTCTCCATCTGTTTCTCTTATATCAGTGAACCCTGCAGACTGGTGTCCTACAACAATTTTTTTTAACTTACCGTCTCACTTTTGGCTCTGACACACTGTGTATTGTGTATGTGTGTGTGTGTGTGTGTGTGTGTGTGTGTGTGTGTGTGTTGTTGACTGTGTGGTTGAGTAACATGCGTGTGGACTCTGTGAGGTCGCAGTCACTCTGACCTGATGATTTTTAGCAGAAACCTACAAACGGGGGGCACATTTGCAGACATGCAATTCGTGTCCTACCGTCATAATTTCTGTCATTAAGACGGAAACTGTGACACCATTCCAGCTTAAGCTGCTCAGCTGGTCCAGACTGACGTGTGAACCAACACAAAAATAAATCCACAGGCCTCTGAGACTTTAAAGTAGTTTAATCCAGCTGTTAAACTGCTGCTGAAGTTCAAACCAGCTAGTAACCCTCACTTTGTGAGAGGTGCTCGTCCAAACATTAAGTTCAGCTTCACCAAATAATCCGAATAAAACGGGCAAACAACATCGTGTTGTTTTTCATTACACGTCAGTGGTCACATTTTAGGATGGCGTGTTAAGGTGGTCTATTTTAGGGGAAAAAAACAAGCATCTGGGGCTGTTTTTGTTCCACACAGAGAACAGAAATCCAAACAAAAGTTTGGAAAACGGGAAGAAAAATCAACGAAAAGCTTCATTTAAATGAGTTTAACTGAATCTAAAGCTGCTCCAATAGTGTGATGAATCTCAGACTGGCTCCTGTCCCACTTTTAGGAACATGCAAACAATTATATTTGAATTTAGTCCAAATGTTGAACACTGGGTAGATTTCTCTTTCCTTCCAGCAAACCCAAACTGCATTTAGCCCAGTTTGCCCTGTCTCCGATATTTTGGAGAGCGTCAGGCTAATGTTTGGCTAAAGGAAGACACTGACAAAACCCCAACAGGCTGCAGGAACATTTCCAACCCTGGAAACACACGGATGGGGCATGAGTTTTAACAACGAGGAGACGCACACACAGACGCACACAGAGACACCAGCTGGTGAGGATTGGTTAATTTATTTCAGTAAACAAAACAAACGCCGTCCAGACTTCCTCTCTAAACGTTGTTGACCGGTTTCATGACGCCACACAGCCTCCACAGAGTGGAAACAAACAAAAGAACTACAGCGGAGCGTTTGCTAGTCGCAGCTCCAGAGGTGATAAATAAGGACAGTCCTCTAGCAGGGGTGGTGGTCCGGGACCCTCTTCCTGCAAACAGAAACAGAAAAAGTTAGCCCCAGATTAACCACATGGCGCCCACTGACCCAAGTACATATCGCTGCAGCCTGCAGGAAGCCAAAGACGGATATCCAACTCCCCCACATCCAAGTCGGCCATTTTGATTAGGTCACCAATAGGAAGATCCCAGGCAAGAAAATCCTAATTGCTTCATGGCAATATAGAGATTTAAAATTAGGGAAATTAATCTTGCAAACACTGAATTAAACTCTATCCATAATATGTGTGGATGGTAAATAGGTTTGTACAATAAGTCCAAACAAGTTTAACCAAAAAATAGTTATTTCTCAATATTATGAAGGGTGGAGGGTTAGGGTTAAGGTCAGGGTTAGGGTCAGGGTGGAGGGTCAGGGTCAGGTTTTTATAGTCAGGATTAGGGTTATGGTTGCGGTCAGGGTTAGGACATTGTTTATCTTCTGATTTCGTATAGACAGTAAAGTTTCGTTTCCACCTGAGAAAGCTGCAAGTCACATGCCCTAAACAAAATGGCCGACTGGGATGTGGGAGGAGTCAGATATCCAGCCGAGGCTCCTACAGGCTGCAGCCTGAGGCTGCTGCACTGACCTGGGCGCGGCTTTGATGATGTTGTCCACCCTCAGGATCATCTCGGCGGCCTCGGAGGCGCTCAGCAGCATCTGGCGCTTCACCATGAAGGACTCGGTGACGCCCAGCTCCGCCATGTCTCCCAGAGAGCCCTCCAGCATGTCTGCGGGGAACAGGGGGGTCAGTTCACCGGCCGCCAACACCCCCAAAAGCCTGTACCCAGCCCGGCCACTCACTGAGGCCGCTGGTGGAGCGGTTCTCCTGGTGGGCCGCCCTCAGCTGGGACACCAGGTCTGCGCTGTCGTAGCCCGCGTTGTCGGCGATGATGGTGGGCAGCTGCAGGACACAAACACAGAAAACGGTCACACCGGAGGGGGGAGGCTCATTTTCTGAGATAGGAGGGGACACGTCCAGCTGGCCACCCCAGTAGAGGCTCCACCAGCCTAAAGCCGGGCGGAGACTGTGAGATTTCTGACCCTTTTTGACACCATTTTTTCCACTCGTGTGCATCGAGTTTCAGCTCTTGGTGGGTCTCACATGGTGTCATATACTAGGCTGGTCCAGATCCGATATTTGCAAAAAAATGCATATCGGCCAGCAGGAGAAAATGCAGATCCAGACTCCAGATCCCACACGAGCATTAGCATTAGCATCTGTAACCCACAGGTCTGTGTCCTAACCATTAAGTTGTTATCAGAGTAAATCCCTTTTCAACATGAGTCTGACAACTAAGTATATAGATAAATAACTCTGTACTAACACAGTGGAAGTGACTGAGCATCAGGGCAGCTGGATTCAAACAATGGAAGCACAGCTTGTGGAGCTCTGCCCGGCTCAGCCAGAATTATCAGGACCGAAATATAAGAGACCAAAGTTGGTGGAGATTGCTCCACAATTAAAGTTACCAGCTACACACAATCACCCAAATCACCAAAGCAGCCTTTAGCTCTGGGGACCCTCATGTTTCCTCCCTGTTGTTTGACTTCATCTTCTATTTCAAGTCTGAGCTCAGATCTCATATCGGGTCGAACAATGAGAACAGAAATCGTGAGCTGTGACCTTTGACCTTTGACCCCTACGCTTTGGTGCAGTTTGAACTGAAGCTCAATTGGAAACATCTCACAGTGTACGCCGGCTTTAGAGGCGCTCTGCGGGGTTTCGGGAGTCGACCGTAGAAAAGGCACACAGACTCACCATCATCAGGGCCTTGGCGAAGGACTCCATGGCAACCGCCTCCTTTCCTGGCGTCCGGTTGGCCAGGTCAGTCACCACCTTGGCCATCAGCATCTCGGAGCAGCCTGATGAGAGCAGAGACACGGCAGGACGAGTTATCCTGAGTTATTCTGAGTCAGAACTGTCTTCTGTAAAACCACAACCAGGATTCTGACACTTCCTGATTCCTTTGACTTTCTGTGTATTTATTTGGACCGACTAACAAAAGCCGGGGGTAACTTTGTTCATAGCAACATTGAGATTCAGAAAAGAGGAGAAAAGTGAAAATGTGTTAGAACTCAATGGAAGCCGTGATGCTCACGTTTAGTCAGCTCAGGATTTCTGCCACTGCTTTTAAGTTCATTAAGTTAATCTTTAAATTCTTCTCAAGTGTACATTAAAACATCTGCAGCACTTACAGATGTGTTTGAAATGAACTGGGACAGAAATGGTAAATATTCACTTCAATGATGTGACATTATCCAGCTAACTAAATAAGAAGACTTCTTGAAGATGAGGCGTTTGGTCATTCCTAATGTTTCTGATCAGAGTAACTCTCTCTCACCTCCTCCGTAGACGGTGCGCGGCTCCTTCACCGTCTGTGCTAACACGCACAGCGCGTCGTGCAGAGAGCGCTCCGCCTCGTCCAGGATCTGCTGGGTCGCTCCACGCAGGACCACGGTGCACGCCTCGCCTGTAGGGAGAGGTCAAAGGTCACACCTTCTGACAAATGGCAGCTGCATAAAAAAAGCTTTGACCTGCCGTCAGCAGGATGCTCAAAGAGAACAGATTATTACATTTTAGAAGAGAGCTGCTCCTTGTTTAAGGAAGGGAACCCGGAGCTAACAGCTGCTAACAGAGCTAACAGCTGCTAACAGAGCGTCACAGCTGTTATCAGCTGCTAACAGTCGCTAACAGCTGCTAACAGAGCTAACAGCTGCTAAAAGCCGTTATCAGCTGCTAACAGTCGCTAACAGCTGCTAAAAGCCGTTAACAGCTGCTAACAGTCGCTAACAGAGCGTCAAAGCCGCTAATAGAGTGTCACAGCCGTCAACAGCTGCCAACAGCCACTAACAGCTGCTAACAGAGCATCACAGCTGCTAGCAGCTGCTAACAGAGCCTCAAAGCTGCTAATCGAGTGTCACAGCTGCTAGCAGCTGCTAACAGTTGCTAACAGAGCCTCAAAGCTGCTAAAAGAGCGTCACAGCTGCTAACAGTTGCTAATAGAGCGTCACAGTAGCTAACAACCGCTAACCGCTGGTAACAGAGCGTCACAGTTGCTAACAGCCGCTAACCGCTGCTAACAGAGCGTCACAGTTGCTAACAACCACTAACAGCTGCTAACAGAGCGTCACAGCCGTCAGTCAGGTCCAAAACCTAAAACGGCTAAAGTGAGGAGGTCCGGGGTTTGTGCGGCCCCTGGAGGCTGTGCTCAGGTCAGAAGTGTCTGAGCAGAACTGGGCTAGGCGTGCACGTACCCATGTCAACTCCAGAGAAGTGGATCAGCATGTCCTCCCCGATCATCACCTCCTCGATCAGCTTGCAGTGGCCCAGCTTCACCATCTCGGGGTGGTCGAAGGTGGAGGTTATCTCCCCACCTGGGCCAAACACAGCACACACATCACACACAGTCCCCCAGAGGACCCAGACCCTGGGGCCCCGTCCAGAGGATACCTACCAGTGACCAGAGCCAGGCGCTCCACGCCGGCGAAGTCTGCGTGCTCGATCGCCATGACGCCCGCCTGAGCAAACAGCTGCTCCGGGTAGTTGTAGATCAGCTGTCTGAGAAGCAGAGGACAGTTTACAGACAGGAAGTGGATCAGACCGGGAGCTGTTCAGCCTAGGCTGGTCCCGATCCCATATCTGGATCGGATCGGCCGGCAGGAGTAAATGCAGATCCAGACTCCAGATCCAGTTTTTATTTTAAAGTCAGATCCCACCCAAGCATTAGCATTAGCATCTGTAACCCACAGGTCTGTGTCCTAACCATTAAGTTGTTATCAGAGTAAATCCCTGTTCACCATGAGTCTGACAACTAAGTAAGTAGATAAATAACTTTAAACTTTAATACATGCTGTGATAGGTCGGGATCGGAAGTGAAAAAAGCTGGATAGGGACACCCCTAGTTCAGCCCCCGCCTCTGGGCAGGGATGTGAAAGGTTTTGTTTGTTCTCCTTCAGACATTCTGAGGTGAAAAAGGCCTTTCAGCTTTTCTGGAGGAGCTCTGCTGCCCTCTACTGGAACACATGAGTTATTGCTGCTGGCTTTTGCTGCCTTTGTTTTTTCTCTCTCTCTCTGTCCAAAGGATCTTTTTCCTTTCCGGGTTTGTTTTTCTTTGTTCTTCTTTCTTCCCTGTCCCTTCATCAGGTTCGGCATTATTGGATATATTTAAAACTGCATATCGGCCGGCAGGAGAAAATGCAGATCCAGACTCCAGTTCCAGTTTTTAAAAGATCTGATCCGTGTTTCCCAGCATTTGAAAAATAATCCATTACTGATGCTGTTAATAGACTATTTTCTATTCAGGTTGTTTGTGTGTTTTGCCTTTTTAATACAGTTTACAATATTATTGTCACTTTTTACTGTTCACTGATGCCATCTCCCTTTGTTATTTATAATTTAGTCTATTTTGTGTTTCTCCCTGAATAAACAGGTCAGTCTCTTTACCAACCAGTGTGTTTCTACCTGTTGATGAAGCAGGTGATGCCGTGTTTCAGGATCCGGTCGACCTTCTCCTTCATCTTCTCTTTCTCTGCCAGCTCGATCTCAGCCACCTTCGCTGTGGAGTCCACACGAACCCTGGAGCCAAAAATCTGAGGCACACAACAACAGAGAACATCTCAGAAACGAGGAAACAGAAGACATCGCCTCCATGCTCAGGCTCTCTGGAAGGAAACTAAAAGCCTCTGTGGGCTACCTTGATCTTGTCAGTGTCCATGCCAGTGTTGGCGATCAGGATCTTGACGTTCTCCAGCCTCTTTGGTTGGTTCACTCCGATCTTCTTGTCCAACAAGAAACCTGATTCGGAACAAAAAGAAGAAAATAGGATGTTACAGATTAGGGATGTCCTGATCCATCTTTTTGGACTTCCAATCCCGGGCTATCAGAGCATGTATTAAAGTTTAAAGTTATTATCTAACAACTTAATGGTTAGGACACAGACCTGTGGGTTAGGATATGCTAATGCTAAATTGCTTTAGCATGTAAGACCCACAGTTGCAAATTTACTGAATTCTAAAAAAATAAAATAAAAAATTTAAGTCCTGCAATTTTTTTTCTTCTCAAGACCATATTTGCATAGTTAATGGCATCACTCCATTATTAGATAGAAAAAGAGTTTATAGGTCCGGTCATCTGGGCTTTAACTCACTATACCTGAAAACTTTCCATTGTAAATGCTGTTGGAAATTTGCAACTGGGGATTACAGGGTTTTAAGGGTGTGCTGGAAAATTACCAGATATTAGGGAAAGACACAGCAAAGTGGAATGGATTATTTTAATCGGTGTGCTGGAAAACTGGACTGGACTTGAAAAAACTGGATCTGGATCTGCATTTTCTCCTGCCGGCCGATACGCATGTTTGTGCCAATATTGGCGGCCGATCTGATCCAGATATCGGATCATGAACCGCCTATTACAGATGTGGAACCAATCCGGAGCAGAATCTCCAGCCCCAGGTCAGGGTTCGGGTTATGGGCTCACCTTCGTCCAGGTAGGAGTCGGTGAGGCTGCCCCCCAGCTTCTTGATGACGTGGATGGCCTCCAGGTTCCCGGAGCCCTTCAGCCTCATGACGGCGTTCACAGCCAGCTTGGCGAAGTGGTCTTTGTGGTGGGTCAGGAGCTTGGAGGACAGCGTGGTGCGGGCGATGTTCAGCAGGTCCTCCTGGAAACGGGCCGGGTCGTTGCTACGGCGACAACAGACAGTCAAAGGGGGGAACTCTCCATGGGAATGAACAGGACTGTGTGGCAGTCTGAATAAATCTGGACAGGATTCTGGTCCATGCAAAGACTTTAGTAACACACATCTAGTTATGATGGGGTGTCAGCCTGTGGTAGAGTTAGAGGAATGACGAGGGGGAAAAAAACCACAGAAGAAGCAGCACCCGGCTCACCTGTGGTCGACCGCCGCGTCCCTCAGAGCCTCTCTGGCCAGCTGAGTGGCTTTCCTCCAGCCGGAGATGATGGTCTGTGGGTGAATCTTCTTGGCGATGAGAAGCTCCGCCTCCTGAGAAGGGACAGTGGCGGTTACAGAGCCTTCGGCACCTTTACAGTGCGGGAAATAAGTATTTGAGCCTTTGCTGATTTTGCAGGTTTGCCCACTTACAAAGAATGCTTATTTTTCCTCATCAGATGGTTATCAATTTTTCTGAATTCATATGATGTGATTTTCTGGAATTTTCTTTGGGATTCTGTCTCTCACTGTTAGAATGTACATATGATTAAAGTTATAGATCGTTGCATTCTTTGTAAGTGGGCAAACCTGCAAAATCAGCAAGGGGTCAAATACTTATTTCCCCACTGTGGGCACTCGGCCGGGACGGGGGGGGCGCTTACCCGCAGAAGCTCGGCGGCCAGCACGGTGACGGAGGTGGTCCCGTCTCCCACCTCGTCGTCCTGGACCTTCGACATGTCTGAAAACAGAGGAGCGCCCTCCTGCTCGTGATCCAGATCCATTCAAAGCCAATCCGGGATTTAACGTGGCTATAAAATGCATTCAAAATACAGCCAGCAGCTTTATGTCTATTTCAGGCTTGTCCCGATCTGATATCTGGATCCCATCGGCCGCTGATATTTTAAAAAAACTGTGTATCGGCCGGCAAAATAAAATGCAGATCCAGACTCCAGATCCTGTTTTTTTAAAGTCTGATCCCACACGAGCATTAGCATTAGCATCTGTAACCACAGGTCTGTGTCCTAACCATTAAGTTGTTATCAGAGTAAATCCCTGTTCAACATGAGTCTGACAACTAAGTAAGTAGATAAATAACTTTAGACTTTAATACATCCTCCGATAGGTCGGGATCGAATCAGAAGTTAAAAAAAGCTGTATCGGGACATCCCTAGTTTATTTATTCCTTCTTCTTAAAAATCTCCCACACAGTTTGTCAGCACAGATGAATGACTGAGGAACAACAAAGCTCCGGCTGATCTCCTGATTAACAAATATAACGTTCAGAAAAAACTGCTTTTCTTTCTTCCACTTTCTAAATTCTCCACGCAGACAGAAGTTTAGCTTCTTCCCTCACCGACTAAAACTTTGGCTGCTGGGTTGTCGACTCCGATGGCTTTTAGGATGGTGGCTCCATCGTTGGTCACCATCAGTGTGCTGCCTTTCCCCCCACTCAGCAGGATCTTATCCTACAGGGAAACCGAGACAGTATTTCTAACCCCGAGCAAGACAAGAGCCAACACAAAAAATCTGAATTTTAAAAGAGAAAAAAAAGACATTTCCACTTAAATAAACAAATAAAAGCAGGCCTACCATCCCCTTTGGCCCCAGAGTGCTCTTCACCAGGTCTCCGATGGCGATGGCTCCAACAAAGGACGACTTTAAAAATAAAGAAACAGACGTCAGAATCAGATATCATCAGTTCAATTAAGACAAAACCTTATAGGTTATAAGGTATTAAGCCCACCAGTCGAGCAGTTTCTGCTTTCTCTTCGTCCGCTCCATGTTTGAAGATGTTGACGGGGGCCATCGATAGGGACGCCTGCAGAGCAAGACAGCAAGAAGTTGCTTATAATCTTACAAATACGAGAAAAATGGGTTTATGTTGCTGTTTGACTCAACAAAAACCAGAACACACCAGCAGAACTCCTCATGTTTAGATCAGCCCTGACATGACATTTAAAACCAAAATTCATCTTTCAATTTAGAAAAAAATCTGGATATATTCAGTGTAATAGGCTACAAGAGCATTCGTCTGAGATCTGGGCTACAACTTATCAATTACATCAAATAAATTATGGCTTAATGTTTCTGTTAATGGACATTTTGTTGCAATTGACCTGAATGTACGATTATGTTACAATGAGTAATGTTGAGTAAAATATATAATATCTGCAAGTATCATCTTCCAGATAATTTTAAATTAGCACTTAAATAGTCAAATGGTTTATATTCCTCAAAGCTAAAGATTTCCAGTATCATTTAATGCGTCACTAGCTTTGCACCGCCCCTTATATCTTAGAAACCGCTAGAAGCTTTCTCCAAAAACAGTTAAATATAAACTGCGTGAGAAAATCCATTATAATAACGTCATAAATAAGGCCTGCATTCATTTAGTAATAACTTATTATTGTCAATCCCTTTGCTGATGTCTCCCAAATATCCATCAAGGCTGATTTCCTCTTGTCAACCACAAAGACCAATGACATGCTAACTGCATGCTACAGGGCGACTGAGGAGTAACATCAGCAGCCAGATTGAGACACAACCCAATTTCCTTTTCGTTTATTAAGACACAGTTTTGAATATAAAAAAAGCCTGACAGTACTCTGATTTTATGTAAACTCCCAGCACCAAAATAAACTGCTAGCTTAGCTGCTAACGCAGCACAACGCCCATGTGCTTGTTGCCGGTTAGCATCACCAGCTAACAAAAAGCTAAATGCGACAGAGCCACCACATTTAGTTTATAAAACCGGTTCTGTTTGTCATCCACTGGCTTTAGCAGCGACTCTAAGCAGTCAAGCTAATGCCACTAGTTTTAAATAAGAATGAATAAGGGCAGGAGCTCACCATGATGTCTGTAACTTAAGGCTGAAGCCGTGCACGCAGACAGAAAAAGGGAAGGACGACGCAGTGACGTAAAGACGCAAGAACGTAATGCTGCGTTCATTTCATGTCGGAAAAAAAGCGGAACAAGGCCAATATGTTAATTTAACACCATATTCGGTAAAAAAAACAAAAGAAAAAACACCATGAATAATTATGATGAGCGTTGCATAGAAGGTGCTCTTAGTAAATAGATAACTTTTTTATAGACTTAGACTTTATTTATCTCTTGGGATTACTCCTTCAGGGAAATTCTGGTTCCAGTAGCTTTATGTTTATGTTTGTGCATTTAGCAGACGCTTTTATCCAAATCGATTTTTTAAAACCTTTTATTTGATTCTACTTGATTCAAGCCACTCAAGCAAATGTTTGAAAAACTAAAAATACTTATCAGTAATTAATAGTAAGAAAAACTGAGAGGATTAAGATTTAAAAAAGCAATTAAATACATGGTGAAATTGACAAGATTTTTAAACTGTGAACACAAAGAATTTATTGCAGGGCTAAATGCATTAACTTTTTTTACAAAGTCTTTTTCCAGGTTACTTGACATCGTATTTTATTTACACGTATTTATAATGGCTGTACATTATTTTTGTCATTTCATCTCTATCTTGTGTGCAGTCAGTTGATTTTCATTTAACATTTAATTCAATTTTGAGATTCAATATTCCTTAAATATATCTGTTTAAGATTCTTTTGCTGAAATGTCCCACATGTGTTCGTACAGGAACTAAATGTGAGAGAAAGGCAACACAATCATATCCTATATTTACAAAAGTCTAAAAGCTTAAACACGTTTCATAGGTTTCCAGTCCCATCATCTCCTCTTCTTCTGGCCCCGTCTCCGGCCTTTGTGCCCGGCATGCTGGACAGGCAGACAGTAGATGTGCATTGGGAAGGTCCTAAAGTAGCTACTCACCCAGGGCCTGTTGGAAACCAAAGATACCATCGTTACAAGAAGTTTCCCTCTATTATAGCAGCTCTATTCTGAAATGTGACTGTCGTTTTCATAACGTTTAGGGATTTAAAATCCTATTTAAACACAGAATGAATGGCTTATGATGAACCATTTAATGAGAATTCAGGGACAAATGGAAGGTGATTTCTGAGGGAGAAGCAGAGCGGCAGCGTCTGCTTTGACAGTGGGATTAACTTGCTGAATAATGCAGAGCTCTGGCGTGTTTGTGTTTTGGTGTACTTGGCGACTCGCTGGCTCAGACTCAGGAAGCAAAGGCTCTGCCACAGTAGCTGGTTTCCCTGCTGACGCAGAAACTGGCTCTCTTGCTGCCTCTCCTCATCCAGACGCAGAGACTCTCGCAGCTCCGCCTCGATATGGGTCAGCTGCACATAGAAATTCAACTGAGTACCAGATTACACCCTTAAATAGACTCCATTCTGCAGGTTGATCCACATCCCACATTCAGAACTTTGCTAAAAATGTGGGATTCAATGAATAGAAAAGAGCTAAACTTATAACTGTTAGAGCTGAGATGAGAAATAAAACAGTAGTAAGATGGAAATTTATCCAGATATGCTTTACTGACAGAAATATTCCTGGTATAAGATAAGACATATCAATTTTTAAATATAAACTTTATTAGCCATGTGTCAATCCCCTTAATTTATGTTGAGGAAACATTATAAATTGTACTAGTAGAGCTACAAAATCACAAAAGACACAAATATTTGGATGCCTGTGTATTTGGGATTTGGTCATTTATAGTAATACAGTTTCAAGGCCTGTAAAAACACCCTCTAATCTACATATTCTACAAACCATTCCCCGCTGTTTGGACGTGTGAGAGTTTCTGAGGACGTTACCTCCTCCAGCAGGCTCCTGTTCTCCTCCAGCTTCTGCTGCTGATCACACACAGCCCCAGAGGAGGGATCACTCAGGTGTCTCACTTCCTGTTTCTCCTCCTCCCCATCAGGCTGTTTCAGCTGCTCCTGGGCTATCGGAGGCAGGAAAGTGGTGCTAAAAGAAAGAGACGAATGTGTTCATCTTTCACTTTATCCCTGAAATGTGTGCCAACTGGTGCATGTGTGCTCTGAACTGAGTTTTCGTGTGATTTATAACAGAAATGTTGGAGAATTATACCAAAGATTTGTGTAATTTACTGTTTGCACATATTGCTTTCTTTTGCATGGATAATAGATAAATAAAATATATTATTGTGAATTGAATTTGAATATAAGCCCAGACAAAAGCCATGGAGCAACTCTCAATTGAGCTTTAAATCGTACACCATCTGATTCTAACAACAGCAATAATTCTGCTATCTGCACCCTATTCCAAAAATGAAAAGTATGCAGGTAAAAACTTGATTTAAAAAGACACTTTCAGGTGAGCTTATCCAATTTCTACAGAGGAAAAAACACAAACAGGGTAGTAAAATGTCGAGACAGATAAATGTTTGGCGGTTTTGAGCAACCATCATGCATTATTAAGAGTCTGTTAAGTTTCAAATAAACCAGGAGAAGATGAACAGCCTCTTTTCCCAGAACTTTAGGTTTAAATTACACCATCGTCTTCTAAACTAGACAGTAATGTTCACAAGTCTGAACACTGATGCCCCAATTTCAAATGTCCTGACTCCCCAGGTCCCCCTGAAGACACTTCTTCTGCTCTAAGATTTGTTTACAGACATGTCTGATAAGGGTAATGTATCCGTCTGCCAGGCCTACGCTTGGCTGGAGAGTATCACACATCATTCACACTGTCTTATCAAATTCATCCGGCCTGGCTGAGTCTCCAGCTCTTCTGAGGCCAGAAGCTACATTAAAATAACAATAAAGATCCAGTTCAGCCTGTTTTTACTATAATGAACAACTGGAATGGAAGCTATTTCACAAAACTATATGAAAGTATCTTTGCTCCCAGTTTCTTTTGTCATAAAAAAGTCCAAAACATCCATCTGGATTCATGAACTGTAGGGTGAATGAGGAGGCTGGGATCAGATGCAGGTCACCTGTGCTGTTACCTGTCTGGTTACCTGTCCTCTTACCTGTCCCGTTACCTGTCCTCTTAACTGTCCGGTCACCTGTCCTCTTACCTGTCCTGTTACCTGTCCTGTTACCTGTCCTGTTACCTGTCCTGTTACCTGTCCAGTTACCTGTCCTGTTACCTGTCCTGTTACCTGTCCTGTTACCTGTCCAGTTACCTGTTCTGTTACCTGTCCTCTTACCTGTCCTCTTACCTGTCCTCTTACCTGTTCCGTTACCTGTCCTGTTACCTGTCTGGTTACTTGTCCGGTTAACTGTCCAGTTACCTGTTCTGTTACCTGTCCTCTTACCTATCCTCTTACCTGTTCCGTTACCTGTCCTGTTACCTGTCTGGTTACTTGTCCTGTTACCTGTCCTCTTACCTGTCCTCTTACCTGTCCCGTTACCTGTCCTCTTACCTGTCCTCTTACCTGTCCTGTTACATGTCCAGTTAACTGTCCTGTTACCTGTCCAGTTACCTGTCCTGTTACCTGTCCTGTTACCTGTCCTCTTACCTGTCCTCTTACCTGTCCTCTTACCTGTCCTCTTACCTGTCCTGTACCTGTCTTCTTACCTGTGCTCTTACCTGTCCTGTTACCTGTCTGGCTACCTGTCCGGTTACCTGTCCTCTTACCTGTCCGGTTACCCGTCCTGTTACCTGTCCTGTTACCTGCTCTGTTACCAGTCCTGTTACCTGTCCGGTTACCTGTGCTCTCTGCTGTCCGACTCCTCCTGAATCTGAGAGAGATGTCGAGCTCCCATCCTGCCCTAAAACACACAGAAACACACACACACACACACCCACACACACCTGGGATAGAGTATCACTTAATTACATGTTCGCAGAGGACAGACGGATCACGGAGGAGGAGTGAGACGGTTTCCCCCGACGACAGTTACTGTGGTGACAGGAGACATCAGTCCATCAGCCTCTGGGCTGACAGACGACACCAGGGCTCAGTCCACACACACACACACACACACACACACACACACACACACACACACACACACACACACACACACACTCTGACAGCTAGGTAGAGATTAGTTACTGTGTCAGGTCAGGAACGCTACACCTGGTTTTTGTCTTGTTTTGTTCTCTGTGGATTTACTTCAATGTCCCAGTCAAATGAACATACAGGCATCTATCAGCTCCAAATAGCCTCAGAAATACTCTTTATACCACCTCAAGCCCCTCGTGTAAAGGAACAAAAATCAATTCAGTCCTCTTGATGTGCTGGAACAGAAATAATCCATTATGAAATGTCCTGTGTTATCCTTAAGTATGATGTCAGGAGGTGTTTCAGCAGCAAAAACTGAAGATTTTTCTGTGCTTGAATACTTATTTAGTAGATTAAGAGACTACGGTACATGAAAAACTTCCAAAATTGTTTGGATTTTTGGTTTTTACCTCTCTTTTAGGTCCATTTGTGGTGTGTTTGAGTCAAAGTCTCTCTGGCACAGTCCTATTTCAAGCTATTTTATAGAATTAATGAAAAAAATCTAAATATATCTTTAAAAATAACCCTCTAATTCATCTAAATCTGCAAATACTTACAGTGTGCTGGGTGTCCATCTCTGTCCTGATGACCTGGAACCTTAGCTTCCTGCCTGTGGCGGAGAGGCTTCTCTCAGCGGGCTAATTAGTTTTCTGTTTGTGTTGCACCTCCTCCACCTGAATTAGTCATCATTGTGGGTGAGGATTGACCTGAGTGACTTACATCTTCAGAAAAGAGAGAAACGACTAAAAATCAGGCTCAATTGTTATTACTAATTTCAAAGAACAAAATCTTTAAAAAGATGTTTGACGCCATGTGTATAATATTGTCTTATGTTTATGCTGGAATACCTTAAAAAATGTCTTTATCAGAGGTCAAATGCTGGAATTTGTTTAAATGACTACATTTATGACAAAGCAATATGAATTAAACAGTATTTTACCGCTTTTTATGACAGTAGTGCCACATGAGTGAAGGAAAAGGGGGCAAGAATCACGGTCACTGTTTATGGTGTCTGATTTTTGCTGTTTTTAACTTCTAAGAAACACTAAAAATACTGTGACACTGTGTTAAAAATCAGGCTGTAATTGCTCAGCAAAGATTTCCGTCAAAAGCACGCAGATTATAAAGACTCTCAGGTCACAGTAATGTCAGGAATTTGAAAAGTTAAAGTGTCCTCCAGATCCAGCACAATGGTTTTTAGACACAGAGTTTAGTTTTTTTTTTACTAAATTAGGATTAGATTGATGTTTTAATGAGGTCTGGATTAAGAAATGGTGAGGGACACTTTAATTGAATGAACAGAAAACCAACCTGCAAAGAAAATGTTTATTAAAGCAGTCGGGGTCCGGTTAAAGTCATAGAAAAGATTACTTCAAACAAACAACGTCTTAACTCCAGTGTGCTCCATCAGTTCCAACTCCTGTTAGTTAAAAATTGGGATTCGGTTTCTTCTTCTACGATTGTTGTCTTCACTTCTCAGTTTCAGTATTTCTAAAATCTCATCTGATTTCAGAATTTTGCCATAAAAACACGGTGTAGTAGAAAGCCATTTCAAGTCCTTTTTAAAGACTTTTTACACTACTTTGTAGGAAATTAATTTTACCAGAACAACATGAACAGCAACAGGCAAAAACAACATACATTCCCCTCATTCTGGACACATTTCACACTCATTGAGTTGCTTTAAAGCTTGGTCACGCTCTAAAAGCCTCCAGCGTCCTCTCACTGCTCCTCAGTGCCTCAGATAAAGGAACAGGGGGTCGTTTCCATCTGTCCTTTTGCAATGAGAGCGGATGAATTTAAATATCAGAGCTCCTCTCTGAGAGCCTCGTTAGAGTCTAAGAGCCGGAGCAGCGCCTGTAGAAGTAGAAGTGGTAGTCTGTGAACAGGGCCCCGGCAAAGTGGCGGTCAGTGCTGCAGTCTGCTTGACCCTGGAGAAAGAGACGTTAATTAAGCTGTTACAAAGCAGAAAACAGACCGATAGAGCATTTATTTGGGTTTTAGATGATGGTGGAGAACTTCTCTGACCAAAGCGATTCATTATGGATTCATTGTCTAAAAACCTTGTCAAAAGCCAGGCAGAAAACTTAAATTTTTTTTGCCCTTTCCTGGAAAATTGTCACGTCTGTGGGAATTTCTGGTGTGTTGTCATGTATTGATTACCTAATGTGTACACCTGGGGTTCCCTTCCCTCATGTGTTTAAATAGTCCTTTCCCTTTTCTTGTGCCAGTGTGTCTTTCGTTCCTCGTCTTGTTCACGCCTCGTAAGAGAGTTTCTGATTTTGCACTTTGTTCACAGATTTGTTTTTGCCTCGGTCTAAATGTAATACTTTGTTCATAGTCCTGTTTACTTTGATACTTTGTTCACAGCTTTGTCTGCCTTGTTTGAACTTTGTCTGGTCATCTACTCCTTTTGAGTGCGTTTTTGGCTCATTAAAACCTTTTTGAACCGGCCCTCCACGACTGAGTCCTCCACCCATGTAAAAAATCTTGGAAGTCAAGGCTCTTTAGTGTCCTATTGTGTTTGAGAGTTGCTTAATCTCTCAGCACGCCTTTCTTTTTTCCACACATGGATCCTCAGCTGGTCATATGAGGGTGTTGGAAGTAATAAGAAAGAAAGAAATCAAATGTTCTTACAGCCACAGCAGAGCGGAAGTGATAGGAGCTGTGATAGAGACGAGCCACGTGGAGAGGCCATTCGTGTTCCCCCTACAGAGACAAAGCCACAAAGTTTAAACAAAGACGTCTTTCTGTTTCTGTACTGTCCAGCGTTCTGCTACATAATCCTAACGTAAAAACACAACTAAACAGAAAGTTTTGGAGCATTTCAGGAAAGGAGGACGAAGAGTCATTGATCTGATGGCTGATTTACACACTGAAAAACCACAGAATTAACTTTATCGTTTGAATAAAGAGGCTAAAAACTGCATGGTGATGTGGATTTTCAAAACAGTTTCCTTAGACATCAGGCTCCCGCTCACGTTTCTCTCTTTTCTGCTGACGTTTACCTGCGTGTTTGATGGATATCGGCTGGCAGAGACCACGTCTGCATCCAGCAAAGAGGAGCAGGAGGTGGACTCGTCTAGATTACACAGATGGACCACCAACAGTTCTGTAGAGCTTCAGAAAATAAAATAAAGATGCAGTTTTAACTGCTGTTTGAACAGATTTAAGATGGTACATTTTAACGGTTTTATCAGGAATGAGTTAACATCCTGTTAGCTGCTTTATTTTAGTTAACAAGCAAACAAATTAGTGCTAAATAAATGAAAACTAGTTGAAACTGAGCTTGTTATCACGGGTATGAGTAAGTTCTTACTTCATTAGTAGAGTAACTCTCATGTTAGTTGGGACGAACTGGCTGATAGGAACTCTGAAAACGTATCGTTCAGGCCTGAAAGAAGAACAGAAAAGTTTTCTCAAAAGCTTTTTCTGATAGATTTACATAAAAACAACACCTCACTACACATCACAAACCAAAATAATAATGTAAAATTAAGAAACATTGGACTAAAGGCCATTATTTGGTACCCGACTGAGATTTACACTTTTAATGCAGAATTGTGGAAAGTATAAAGCAACAATATTTCTCAAAGACTTGAACTGCCTTTAGGCTAAATCTTTAGTCATCAGTCTGGCGGTAGAATAAAAACTGTATCATCAGGCTTTAATATCATGAATAAATAACTGAGAATATACTCCAATGCTCTTCTGGATCAGAAGTTGGAAAAAATTTCCAAATAAAGACGTTATTTTTTGTTAAAATTCAGATAAGAATCTTTGACTATTTGAGGAAAAACAATATATATTTTCAGTCCATATGTGACCACTCACCCACACTCGTCTCTCATGCAGTAGCGGCTGTCGATCACCTGCTGGTTCTCTTTGATCATGAAAGTATGGACAGTGGTGTTCTTCCCTAAAAGAGAGAAGGAAATGTAGATCTTTTACCAAAAAAGAGCTTTTTGGGACAGCTGGAGTTTTTCCTGGTGTCGGATTGAATTGGTTCCTTATCTGTAACGTGAACACTCACAGTCTCTGGCGCTTTTCAGGTGGTGAGAAAATCTTTCTTTTCTCATTTCTGTTGAACAAAAGACCAAGTATCAAACAAAATAGACCAAAAATATCCGGTTGAAATATGAGCTCGTGTGTTGAGCTTCTCTCACCTGTCAATGCAAACTTGGGAGGCAGTTTGTTGGTGATGGAGTTTGAGTCTGGGGCTTCTGATGGACAACAGAACACCTGATCACAGTACAGAAGTTCACAGAAGTCCACATCTGGAGGCCAGGGGCCCGGAGAGCCGGTCACCGGGACTGAGAGAGAGAAAATAAACATAGTATTGTACTGTTAAATTAATTACTCTGAGTGATTTGGATCATACGACAGAAATTAATCCCATTTAAATCGTCATTCTTTTCACCCCTGTTGCTTTTTTGTCCAAACCTTTGACCCAGCCCTCATTTCTTTAGACATTTCTGGGAAAACAGGACATAGTTGCAGAGATCTTTTCATTTTTTGGCCACTATGATTAACATTGTTACTCATATTTGAAAAACAAGTTAGTTAGTTTAGATCGAAAAAGCTTATTTTACGTATATGTTTGTGTCTTACTGACATCAGTTGCTTAGACAAAGCTACATAATTTAATGCCATTGAAATAAAATCTGCTCAGAAAGATTTCTGTTTCTATTTTAAGCCCCCGTTTTTCCGTTTCAGACTAAACATCTGAGGCTTTGGCTTACCTGTGCTGGTGCGAGGGGTTGTCAGCTCAGGCACCAAACTGTTGTTGCTACCAGACAGAGGCAGAAAATCACAGATTAATGCAGAACAGCCCACTGCCGCCCAGTGGGAACACTGACTTTGTCATTTGTGAGTAGATCTATAAGGCTTTTCCATCAAAATAAAAACTCTGGATGCTCACCTGGAGTCTGGAAAGGAGTCAAAGTCCGTCCCGATGATGTTCACCATGTACAGGGCGGTGACGCAGATGATGCTGCAGAGAAAAACAGCATCTCACACACAGACACATTTAGGACGGCCTCTGAAAAGCAGGAAGTGTCCGGGCTTTGCTCACCAGAGAGCCATGGTGGCCAGCAGGGTGAAGAAGCTGGCCTGGAAGAACTTATTCTGCACACAGCGGTTGTATCTGGGACGCCCGGCCCCCCCCTCAGCCTCTCTGGGTTTGTGTGGCTCTGGACTGGAGGTTGTGGACACACTGCTGTGTCTCTGAGGCCTTCTGCGGGAGGAAACGCACCAACGCTACTTCCTGTTCTCAAATGACTAAATCAAATCAAAATGAAATAGAAAAAGTGACACCGATTATGTCTCAGAATCCCAAAGAGTTTAAAGAATAGTTCAGGTTTATAAGAAAGGTTGTGTGACGTACACTGAGGACTTTAACAAGCAGAAAGGTGTTTTGAGGAGCACTTTTCAGCATCAAATGTTTGATAATCCACCAGTAAACTCAATCAGTTATATCATACAGATAACATTTTTGTTGGACTGCTTCTTAAATGTGTACATTTCAAAGAAAATACTTGAAAAACTAAAGAGGAAGACTCTGTAGTTGATTGTTTAGTTATTAAACATTTGTTTGTGATACATATTAGTACTGAGTAGAGTAATTTTACTGGATGATATTTAAGCTGCAGACCTGGAGCTTATCAGTTAAAGGGGAAAAGCGTCCTTGGCCGAGAACCAGATGAAAATAGGACTGATAACATACACTTCCAGCTGAGCGATCCTCCTTCTGGTCCAATCTCACATCAGTCATAGAGGGCCGGGATTAATTTTTTAAAAACAGACTATGACATTAATTAAATTGAACAAATGTCTGCTAAAGTCATTCATTTAAATGTTGGCCTTTGGAAAATCAGTCGTCCTTGAACTGTGATTTCCTCTGATAACAATGATGAAACACTCACTTTTCTTTATCTCTACTTTCCACGGTGCGTCTTCCTCCACATTATGATCTTTTACAGCAGTCACGTGAGAAGATTATGGAACTGCTTTGGTTTTTAACCCAGTTTCAGACCAGAATGTGAGGCCGTAAAGACGTAATATTTCATATTTGAGTGAATGAAGGATGATGCATCGTGTATCCCCTTTCTTTCCCGTATAATAAAACCTACAAAGCCCAACTTTTAAAGTTTTAAGGAGACACTATACAGGATTTTTATCCCTCAGACAGAGTCAATGGGAAATGTTCATTTTTCAAAATGCAATTGTCTTTTAATGCTGCTGCTCTAGACTATGCTAGTTTATCCAGTAAAGTTCCCAGACTGACTTAAGGCTCGTTACACTTTCTCCCTATTGGCTGCATGGAGAGAAAGAGTCAAGAAGAAAGGTCCACAGGTCCACAGGTTTAAGATGGAGGAATCAGAACCGTACAGATGGGGGATAAGTCAGCTGCATACCCGGTGGAGCGGAGGCTTCCTGTCAGGCTCTTCAGCTTAGCTAGTCTCCGGTTCCACACCTCCAGCTCTTTGATACGAGTGTCCAAGTTATCGGTCAGCTTGGACAGCTGCTGCACGGCCCCCACGTTCTCCATGAAGATCTGCTCCTGCAGAGCATTGAGGAGGAGACTTACAGAGGGCTGTGAGTCTCTGTTTTTTTTTAAGGATCTTACAATGGGATTCAATCAAAAATTCAAGCTCTTTAGGTTTGGATTTAAGTTGAGTCTGGTTTAACTGTTTAAAATGGAGGAGTACGGACTAAAATAAGGAAATAAATCACGTTGTGGAGGTCGGGGGGGGGGGGGTTACCTTGTCCACCATGAGTAAGTTGGGTATCGTCTCTCCATCTGAGCAGATTATGTCTCCGACCTCTTTCACCGCGGACGGCAGCAGCTCCTTCACCTCCTGAGCTATGACCCCTGACACACCCCATCACAGTCAGCGTCCAGAAAATGTCAACAATCAGAGAGGACAACGAAGTAGAGCTACCTAAGTACTGTACTTTAGTACCAAAATGCAGTATCTGTACTTTATTGGAGGATATATTTGTTTCCCTACTTTCACTTTTACTCCACTACATATTTCTGATTAATTTAATACTTTTACTTTCAGGGGCTGAATGGTTACTGGTTACTGATATGTAAACGTAATGATAGATAGCTCTGTCCGGGTTTGGGAAGCTTGCTCCTCATTGGCCGATTTGAGCCATCAAGCATAGCCTATAAAAAAAGGCCTCCCGAAAGATTAGGAAATTGCATGTTGATGCTTTTGGGCTGTTCCATCATCAGGTTAAGCCTGGTAACTGGCCTTTTCAGAAGTTTTATTTGTGTTTTGTTTTCTGTTTTTTGTAAACACCTGTATTGCCTTTGACATATTTGAAATATTTAATAACTTTTGATTGCCTTTTGTTAATACATACAGTTCTTGTACTTTTACTTATACTTGTACTTTCAATACTTGAATATCAATTTTTGAAATACTTCTACTTGCAATACTTAAGTAAAAAGAAATGGAGTACTTCCGTACTTCCACTTAAGTCTGGTGTTGAAAGAACACTTCAACTTTTACTCTAGTCATTTCTTTTATATAGTACTTGTACTTCTACTCCAGTACTTTCTACATCTCTGGTTACTGCACCTGTCTGGTGGCTGTGGTTTATTCCCACGCTCGAGGCGAACTCCGGTTTGTAGTCAAACTCCACTATCCTCATCTGAGTGATTCTCTTCAGCTGCTGCTCAGAGTCGGCCTGCAAACAAACCGGGATAACCGAGAAAAGAGCGTGAACAGGAAAGACAAACAACACACAGGAATCTGTAGAATGAGCATGATCCAAATGCAGGTGTTTGAAAGGCAAACCCCCCCACCTCCTGGACGTTGTGCTTGACCCGGCAGTCGGACGGCTGCATGATGCTGCCCATCACCTTGGCGTTGCCACAGACAACCAGAGCCTCATCAGGGCAGTCGGTGTTGATGCCCACCCGCCCGTGGCAGACCACAGCCTCAGGCCCCGCCCCCCGCTGCCACAGGGCGTCCCCGTCCATCTCAAACTGACCGGGGTTGGAGGCCTGTGGGAGGACGGGACTTAGATCCAAACCTCATCCCTGCTCCAGCTAAAGGACTCAGACTTAGACGTCTATTAGCTAATAACCAGTGTGTTTTTTTACCCTGACGATGATTTTTTCTGACACCAGGGCTGCTAGAAGGAAGCTTTCTTCTCCAACTGCTGCATACAGACCAACCACCATCTGAAAGTACCTGCACAGACACACAGTTAGTCCCAGTCTCCTGAGTCTCAGTCCCTTCCTCCTCCATTCCTGGGGGGTATACCTCTGATCTGGGTTGGGTTTGCCTTTCTTCCTCATGTTGTTGGCCGTGGTCTCGCTAAAGTGCAGCCGGCCAAGCGTCACTTTGGTCACTCTGCCTCCAGGAAGACTGACCCTGGAGGATTATGGCTCAGTTTACTTTACTCATCACCACATAGCTGCTTTGCTAAATGCTGAATTATTTCCTACAGGTATCTGATGTAGAACAGATTAAAAATCATTTAAATGTTAGAATTGGGTTATAATTACTCACTTTAGCATAGTATGCAACAACATAATTCATGTAAATGACAGATTGTCTTTCATAATATTCATAATAGTCCCTTTATAATTCTACTTTTGGGTTAAACTCTCTGGCTCCTCCTCCTCTCTCTGTTACAGTAGATACTTGTCAACATCCACACTTTCTTATCACATTCCACCTAAACCTGCATGAATTAGGACCTGGCCTGTTCATGTCAGAGCTAACTGGCCAATAACACTCGTCCTCCTGATCGAGACCCAGAGGAAAACTGTCCATCACACCCGGAAATCCAGGCTCTTCCAGACTGAGATCCTCCGGGAACTTTGTCTGTGAGAGCCCAGCTGCTTTACTCTGCTTTTGACTAATAAATGTCATATTTGTACTCTTGATCTGCTCTGGTTTGTTCTCAGGCTTCCATCTAAAGAACCAAATCTATCAGAAACATGAGGAGTAAAGTGGGCCCCTCTCACCTGACGGGGTGGAAGGGCTTCTTGCTGCGGTCCGGCTGGGACTGCTCGATGGTCACCCGCTGGCTGGGAATTTCCAGCTGTGCAGAGACACAAACGGTTCCCAGTTATGTTGTTTCTTCATAAACAAGCAGAATCCATCTGGAACCAGGTAGGTTAAGCTGGAGAAAGGGAGCTTAAACCTGGACCCAGTGACATCAAACCCAGTGACATCAAACCCTTATCATCAAATCTGGGTTTAATCTGAAGCATCCTTGTGTTACCTAAAACCAAACGGACTCCCGGTGCTCTGTTTAGGTGTTTGAAATGTGAAAAAAAGGGAGGATTCTGGAGGTCACACACCTTAATCCCGAAGACTTTGATCTGGAAGTGGCTGACCTCCAGCGGGCCGCTGGGCGTCCGGACATAAGACGGCTCGGTGGTGACGCCTATGTGGACTGTGACCTGAAAATGGTTCTTCTTCTGGCAGACAAAGGCCTCGTCGGTGGCAGAATAGTTGAAGCCTTTGTCTGTGTCCACATGGTAGGCGAGAGGAGAGCTAGCACACAGAAAAAAGAGCCAGTCATATCAAAGAGAGGAATCTCTCCAGCGTTTAATGACATGCAGACAGCGTTTAATCCATCTGGAGCTGTTCTTACAGCGTCTGGTAGCTCCTGTCGAATAAACTGCTCCACTGTCCCGGACAGTACTTTTCCCAGCTCAGCATTTGGGACGGAGCTGGACCCAGAGAGCTCACACCGGCCACAGTCCCAGTCTCACAGCAGGACCCGTCCACAGCCGAAAACGGCTCCTCACACTCTGACCTCCGTCTTTTTTTACTGCTCGGAGAACTGAGGAAAAATGGTGGAAAAGTCAGAAACAGTGGCCTGGTTTTAATAACAGTTTAACCAAACATTTCAGTTCAATTCACAGTGAAAATAGTAAATATGTCTTTCATCACAATGTAATCTCTGATGTGAGTCTTCATTTCTGCTCTTTAAATATTAACATGTTCACATCAATCCTGAATATTTAGATCAGTTTTAAATCACTATTTGTTCAATTTTATTTAGCTATACAGACTGTGATTTGTGTGGAAGAAACAGAAATAAAACAGTAACAGGATAAGCATCAGCCTGTTCTTTCAGTTTTTATCTTACTGCCGCTGTGATAATATGATAAGAATAACATATTAGAGTGTCTATTTTCTGGAAAAATAACAGAAAATAATACACATAAAAAAGTTTTTACAAAACCTCTGAATTATTCAGAGTTAGAAAAGGTGAGGACGATAGGAAAAGGTGGCAGAGAGTCTTTTTTTCCCCTGAACATGACAACAAGTTAACAGCATCTGCTAAATCTCTCACATTATTCACATTTGTATTATCCAACTTTAGTTTTGATGCTCAACTTAACAAGCTTCTACATTTGAACTATTTCACATTTGTCTCTGTTTCCCTGATCTTGTGTCAACCCATAAATTCCAGTTTGAGTCAAACGTCTGTGTCTTAATGGATTTATTTTTTAGATTCTGGATCTATATTGTGCCTTCCTTAACCTAACCAGCCCCATCGGTTCAATTCAGATTTAATTTTTTACGTCTCTGATGAATATTTCCTCAGACACATCTCCACTCTCCTGGCATCATGATTTCTCTTTTAACCCTGTAATGCCAAATGTATCATATTTGATACATACGGTTTCTGAAATGTTTTGCGTCTGACACCTTTTGTATAAATGAATGGTAAAAACTTTGCTCAAAATCCTATTGTACACAATCAAATACACCTGATAACAGGGGGCAGGAGACTACACAAAAAATAATCTTGACCTATCGCATAGTAATAAATTATTAATATAAAAAATGTATTTTTGTTTTTTCTTTGTACATATTTTAGTAAAAGGCCAAATAAAGACTTCAAACAAAAAAAAAGTCATTTTCTGCCTTGTGTTATTCTTGGATCAGGCTTTAACTGGTTACTGGGCTCTGTAGCTTCTGTTAGAGCCGAACGTTTGCTTACCAGCTGTGCAGAATGGAGGCAGGATCCAGAGGACAGTCTGAGGCGGGCGGGGGGGGGCCTTGGTTAGTTAGAGGTGCCACATAGCTGGTGTTGGGGGGTGGAGAGGGTGGAGTGGGGGGGGTGTACCCCCGTGAGCAGCCCTCTGGGGTGGGATAGTGCTCCGGGGACAGGAGGGGGGCGCGTGTTCTGGGTTTGATGTAAGTGTTTGTGAGGCCCAGACTCCACAGCTGGCCGTGGGTCAGCGGGTGGGAGTGGGGGGGCAGCGGGCCTCGGTCCTTACAGCGGTACGACGGTTCTGGTCCGTAGCTCTGCTGGGTGCACCAGTAGGACTGCTCAGAGGGGAAATCTGCAGGCAACAGGAGATAATTAACCCAATCTCTGCATAAATGCTTGTTATTTTTCTGTTAATTCCAAATGTCGTTTGTTGGTGTTCAAGATCTTTTTGGTTGAAGCTGCAAATTCTTAATTCCTTTATATCTTTTTTTTATTTATTTTTATTTACAATGTTTTTGTTGGCTGTTGTTACTTGTAACCTGAATGATTGTAGCACATTCAGCCACTTTTATTCCTCTTTATTCCTTTGTTCCTTATTCCTATTCCTCAGAAAATCCTGTCTAAATAAATTAACGCCATCCTAATGGAATATACATTATGTGAAAAGGAAAGTACACCCACTTTCATTTAAAACATTTCACAAAAAAGGTCACGACAAATAAAACAGCAGAAACAAAATGGCGTCACAAACCAAAGAGCTAAGGCTCTAAGGGGTTCTGTAGTACCAGGATCTGGGAGTCCACCATGAACTCCTGGATCCCAAAACAAATGTGAGGCCCCCAAATGTGGGGCTGAAACTGCCCCATCAACAGGACAAAGATCCAAAACACCACAAAAGTCTGAAAACCAAAATAACCAGGCTCCACAGCTTCGGAGAGCTGTGCTGCAAACCTGAATGACCTGAAGTGACTCTGGACTAAGCGGCTGTAAATTCTTCTACAACTACGTTGGAGGCTGATAACGCCACGCATAAAACAATTACTCCAAAGGTCTTATTTCCCCGTGTGTGGGAAGCTGTGGCTGGACAGTACCTGGTATCTGTGGAGGGGAGCAGGCCTCTGAGCTGGAGTCAGGGGGAGACTCAGGGAGCATGCTGGGAAAAGAAAGAAAGAATAACAAACCCCTTACACAAGGAATTGGAGATTTTATTACTTTTTTCTAATCCTAAACCTGGGGAATCTTTTGTGTTTCCAATCTTCACTGATAACCAACCGGGCCAAATAGTTGAATTTATGGAGGTTATGTAACAGAGTGTGTTCAGAAGGAGGGAACCAGCTACAGTGAGTTTCCCCCCCGTCGTTCCCACGACTAATAACTCACAGAAGTTATGTGATACAGAAAAAAAACAGTCACCTGGGTCATCTGCATGCATGGACACATTAAGAAATAACACATTTTTATCTGCAACAACACATCCGATCATTTCCTGATCTGAACCGGGTTCAGTGCAGCTCAAATAAACAATAATAACACAATTCATGTAGATCCTGTAGGGGTTGGATTTGTGTTCTTATCCATCTGAGTTGTGTAACAGTTGTGTAAGTGTGTCTGTGTGTCAGTCGTACAAGCTGCCGGGGTCCATGTCGTTACTGAGGTACTGCTCCAGGATGCTCGTATCTATGGCAACAGAGCTGTCCAGCACACCACTCACATCCTGACCTGTACACACACACACACACACACACACACACACACACACACACACATGGTTATATTAATTTCCCCTCAAAGAAGTTTCATTTGACATTTTTCTGTCTAATGTTCACTGCTGAGAACAGGATTATAGACACAATGAAGAGTATAAGCAGAAAAACATGCATGGTGACATATGAGGGAGGAGAATTAGCAGCTATTAAAATAATTTCCTTCCTTTCTTCTCTGAAACCTCAGAATGTTTTCTCCATTTAACAGCTGCCTATGTGACTCTCATAACCAAATATTCTGTCCAAAATAAGATGTCATCACTACAAACATGACATCAGCAACCTTTTTAATAATCTCTGGAACTTTACAGGACCAAAAACATTTTTTTTTTGCCACAAATCACAACCAAATTCAGCATTTTATAACTTCAATTTAATCTTCTCTTGTACCCTTTTGCTATTATCTGGGAGGCACCTCTGAAAACATATCTTCCATATTCCAACTTCCATATAAAAGAAAACCATCCCCAAAAATCCAAGCAATGTCCAGAACATCATAAATATGGACGATATAAAACTGAATAGACACAAGTGCTACAATACATTCCCAAACTGGACTATAAACTCCTTAAGAACCCTGGAAAACCACAAAAAGACCTGTTTCAACCCACAAACCCCTTCTCTGACCCCTTCAAAAGCCTCTCTGACTGCTTCTGAAACAGATACAATAACTCCCTTGATGGCATGAACCATTTTTTGTGTTGTGACTCTTTGAGAGTCCTGGAACCCTCCAGTTAATCCTGGAACCCCTGCAGATCTTCAAGGCCCATTTGAGCCTGTTCAATGACTCCCTGGACCTCTTTGAAAGCCTGTTCTTTCTTTAACAGCGTCTCTGGTGTGTTCTCACCACTGAAGAACTGCTGCAGAGCCTCGTTCTCCCCCAGGACCTGGACGGGCAGCCGGCCTGCTCCAGGCTCCATGCTGCCCAGCAGGGAGGGCCCCGGCGGGGGGGCGAGGAGGGCCCCGGCGGGGGGCTCTACGCCACTAAAACTGGGAGCACAAGCAGAACATTACATTCATATTAAAGATCTATTCTAAAAAATGAGGGATGGGAGGATTCAGGCACCAGAAGAGGAAGATATAAGGTCAAATCTTGTCATGATTGTTTTCAAATTCCTGTCTGAAACTATGGAGGGGAGACTTTAACCTGTTTCATGTTCAAAGGTTTTCTCAGCTATAGAAATAATTATTAGAAATAATCAAGTGATTGCTAAGGAATATTACATTAAATTCAATTAAGTTGAATCTTTTTGTCAAAATGAAAAGTGAACAATGAGGGATTCAGCTAACTGTAAAGTTGTAAAGTCATTAAAGATTGTCACGTCTGGGGAAATGTTTTGTGTGTTGTCATGTGTTGATTACCTATTGTGTACACCTGGGGTTCCCCTCCCTCATGTGTTTAAATAGTCCTCGTTTCCCATGTCCTGTGCCAGTGCGTTTTTGTCTTTCTGCTTTCGGCTCCCCTCGCGACGTAAGGTTTTGATTTTTGTCACAGCCATGCCATAGTCTTCATAGTCAACCATGTCTTCCATCCACTCCTTTTGAGTGTGTTCTTGTTAAAATAAAACTTTTTCACCAATCTCAGTGCCTGAGTCCTCCCCTTAAGATCCTCCTCCGTGACAAAGATGACTTTAACCTGTTTCATGTTCAAAGGTTTTCTCTTACGTCTGCTTCAGTGTTTTAAACTAATCTTAAACATTAGAACATTTTTTAGAACAATTTGTTGCTACATAAATGCTAAAAGTTATGAGGTGAAAACTGCTATAGAAATAATCAAGTGATTGTTAATGAATGTTATATTCAATGAAATTAAGTTTTATCTTTTTTTCTAAATGAAAAGTGAACGATGGATTCAACTACCTGTAAAGTTAAGATTAATTTTGAAAAGAAAAAGTGAAATGTACTCTTTTTTTAATGTAGATCTTAGCCGAGCAACAGTTGTGAGTGGAGACCATTTTCAGGGGACTGAAATGTAACGTGACATTATCACATCATTTTAAATAAATCATCTATTGGACCCTGTGTTGTTCTTATTGGACAACATGGCAGAACAAAATCTGATCAAAGACTAATGCTATATTTAATATATTTTATATGTTATCCTTATGATGAATGGATTCAGCCCGACCCTCCCACAACATCTGAATGGACATAGAAAATTAAACAAGTCCAAATGATGGAAAATATGATGCTACTCTACAGCTGAAACAACCTTTGTTTATAAGGAGATGGATTCTTGTTACTCCATACATGGGTTGAAAGTGAATAGATAATGGAAAGATAGATATGCCCATCTAATTTATAAATATGTGATCCACAATGAAGGTTTTTATTTGTCAGTCTCCCCCCAACAACTAAACAGACTGGCATTACACGCAAAGGTCTCATAGTAATGTCTTCTCTGAACAACAAAAGGTCTGAAACAAAAACTATGCAGAATTGGTTTTCCAGGAACCGTCTTTCCAGTTTGTCACCTAATAAATGTTCTATATGGACAAAAGGGAAGGAAAGGGGAGAATCTCCAATCATTTTCATAGCACTCATTTAGACTTATTGTTATTCTTAGTTATTCTTAGTTCAAACTCAGTTTATTGATCTAACTGGGATTTGGGCAGTCTGCAAAGAGTAAACTAAAAGAATAAAAGAACAGAAACAGAAAACATGAATCTGTCCTTACTACCTAGAACCATGAAGTCTGTGAGGGCTGTTCAATTATTTTACATAACACACTGATCAAAGTCTTTGACGCAAATTTCTGAGAGGAATAAATCCTATCGATTCAACCAAGTAAGCAAAATGAACAGTTAACAGTTTGTTTACTGTCGTGTTAAAGTTTAAACTCAACCTTAGTTAGTGTTGGCTGGCCAGTAGCCTGAGAAACATCATTTTAATCAATATTATAGCAGGAGCAGTACATGTTCCAAACCTGTTGAAAAAGCCACTTTGTTGTTTTAACCACTGACTCCATCTAAGACAAACCTCTCCTGGACATAATAAAAATGATTTTTGTGAACTAATGCTTCCTCTAGCTGTAACCGCTCAGGTTTTTACAGTATCAAAAGAAAACTGATTTTTTGTGTCATGTTTTATAGAATGATGATTGACCCATTTTATGCAGAAATCCTGTCTAACATCTGCAGTGTTGCCTTACAGTTAACCGTAAAAAACCTGAACTCCAGCAGAGATACAGAAATCATCCTTAGAAAGATCTGTTGGACATGTTTGTTCAAACACACCTGAGCTGTCTCCAAAATGGCCGTCCTTCAGGTGGGTCGCGCTGATCTCTGACTTTATCCAACAGCTCTGCGTTCAGGTACAATCCATATGTAAAGGTGGAATCAGCTTCAGACTTTAGATCCCAAACGTTTCCCCAAATATGTCCAAGAAAGAATAAGTTCCTTAAGTGGTGTGATTATTCCAGGGGTTTAATTATTCCTGTGGAGGATTTGTGTGTATGAATCGTCTCTGTCTGTTGGCTGGACTTTGAGCTTTGAACGGGAAAAGGAGAAATGCATTCACTCACCTGATGCAGCCATAAAACATCCAGTCTTCTTCCTGGAATCGCACACACAGAATGAGCTCTGCGACACTAAAGTTGAGGCAAATTATAAAAATATATACACAATACTGTAGGAAAAGTCGTAATCCAGCCTTATTTATTTATTTATTTATATACTCTGTTTTTTTTAAAGAGATCCTTCTTCTTTGGACATTTCCTGTTTTTCCTGTTTTTCTCTTATTCTCTGTCCTTGTAGCTGATTATTTTCAGCTAAATGTTTGTTATCATTGTTACTTAACTCTGACCTGTGAATCAAAAGCCCCTAAACTCAAGAGATGAGCAAGTGTTATATCCCTCTAAATTGTGAATACGAAATTACGCTGCAAACTATTTAAAAAGGTCGTTGCTTTTTTCTGATGGCCAGCTCATTTCCATCCATTACATTGGGATTTATATATATATAATCAATTTCTTTACTTCTCTGTGGTGACTTTCCACTAGTGAATATTTCAAAGGTACACGGTGTAGGGATTCCTCCCAACTAATGGTGAAATTGTATTTAGCATCTTAACAAATCTGCTCTGGGCAGCACGGTGGTGTGGTGGTTAGCACTGTCACCTCACAGCAAGAAGGTGGAGTCCCGGGGGAACCAGGACCTTTCTGGGTGGAGTCTGCATGTTCTCCTGTGTCTGTGGGTTCTCTCCGGGTTCTCCGGCTTCCTCCCACCGTCCAAAAACCTGCATGTTAGGTTGGTTGGACTCCAAACTGCCCTTAGTTTGAGTGTGTGTGGTTGTTGGTCCTTGTGTGTCTCTGTGTGGCCCTGCGATGGACTGGCGGACTGTCCAGGTTGACCCCGCCTATTGCCAAATGACCACTGGGATAGGCACCAGTTCTCCCTGCGACCCCGTTAGGGAATAAGTCTCTAACAAATCTCTGCCCACTGAGTTACGTTCATTTACTGACCTGCCACTGTTCAAAGCTCAACTTAAAACGTATTTGTTCAGGATGGCTTTTTGCACGTAGGGTCTCTGTATACTGGGTTCTGTCACCGATGTGTATTATTTTGTCGTGTTCGATAGTTTGATCTGTTTTTATTCTGTAAAGCACTTTGATCAGCTCCGGTTGTTGTAAAGTGCTATATAAATAAACATTGATTGATTGATTGATTGATTGATTGATTGATTGATTGATTGATTGA